TAAGGTCTCTGGTGTCACAGGCGTGCAGCTTCCGGGCCTGGAAGAAGCTTCCGGAGGCCAGCAGAGGAGGTAGGGGAAGTCAGGGAAAAATCGCCAAAACAAAAACACTCAGAGCCTCCCGCTCTTGTGGTGGAGGCCTTTGCCAGGTGTCTCGTGGAACAAGGACTCGGGCTTCTTGCTTGTGTGTCAGCAAGAGCTTCTCCGTGCCTTTCGTGACTACTGCAGGAAAGACGTGGAGCTGCTGCTGCTCGCGCCCGTGATGTGCTCCGCCACCTTTTTTTGCAGTGTTTGGCTTCAGATGACGGTTGAGATCGCTCTGGAATCTTGTGTGTCGTTTGAGTTCTGGGGCCCCACGATATCAGGGGGCCCGGGGAAAGAGGGCCCACCAAGCCTGGCTTTTTTTTTGTAGCGTGGTGCGCTCGGACTGTTGTCAAATTGCAGGGAATGCGTGGGAATGCCATCGCTACTTTCTGGTTTATGGGCTTCAGGTGGCCGGCCATCCACTACACCTCTGCAGACCTGCGCATCACCGTGGGGGAGTCGGCGCCACCGCTGTCCGCAGAGGGTCGGGGGCCTGGAACTCTTAGCGCAACTCATTCCGGCTGCATCTCCAGATGGACCCCAAAAGCCCTAAACTCTCATTTTCCTCATCCCGCCCTAATCAGGACTACAAGGCTTGAGCCGACTAAAAAGCGTTAGAGAGACTCCCTAATTGGGAAGTTGCGGTAGTCGGGGGACTTCTCTTGAGGTGATGGACGTGTTGGGCCGACGCGCTTCTCAATGGTCTGCTCCACGAAGAGCATCTTCACCTTCGAGTTCGACGAATTGACGGGCTTCGGATTGCTCAACGGCTACGATGTTCTGCAGCTGGGCGTAAGAGACAGTGCTTTTATGAGGAGGCCTAGGTGCTTTTTCATGGTGCTTACTGCAAAGAAGAATGAGTTCAGTCATCCCCAAACCCTACAGCCATATAAGCCCCACAAAATCTTTCGTCAGGACGCTGGACGTGCGCACCGGTGCCCTCGCCCTGAGGGCAGACGCAAACCTCACGAGGGTCTTCGACCACGCGCCCACCGAAGGGAGGTCGTCTGCCTTGCTCCAGTGCCAGGTGCCCGGGGTTTAGGGTTTAGGGTTTAGGGTTTAGGGTTTAGGGTTTGGGGTTGTGAAAGAGTTGGTTTTGCGGGCTTGAGGTGAAATCTTCAGGGAGACATGCTATGGCAGATTCAACGACCTTTGTGTGCAAACAGACCGCAGATTGCGACTCAGGTGTTGGGACACTTCGAGTGGCAGGCCGGCATGTCTGTTCCACCGATTCGTGGTGACGTGAACATTTCCGCGCCTCGGTAGCCTTGTGGGTTGTGTTTGAGCAAGGTCTGTGCTTGTGCTTGTTGTATTTGTATTGCGGTAGTGTGATCACTGTGTGCTTGGAGCAACGCAACCGAAGCAACTGCTGAGACTGTATTGTGCATCATTGTGCACCGCATCCAGAACTGACTGGGCAGAGGTGCTTGACCACACCTGCTGGAAGAAGGTGGTTACTTCAGACACGGCACAATGGAAGCCTGTGCATCAGCTTCATGATGTTCCTCACGCGCAAGCTTGCCGCGCGGCCTGCCGAAGGGCCCCATCCTGTGGCATCTACACCTACAGCACCTCGGCATACCTCAGCATGTTTTCTGGGCAAGTGTTCCTTGGGCACTTCCGTTGGGCGCTTTCACGCTCGATGCCAGGCACGGAGAACATGTCCGTTGCTGCATGCTCCTTTTGGTCCCCATGTGGCTCGCCAGCTGTTGCGGAGTGCTCAAACTACCATCTTCACCCATGGTGGCAGGCATGTCGTTTTGGCCAGCACCACGTTGTGCTGTTATTTTTTTGCTCTTTGCCATCAGGCCCCATTGGTTTCCCCTTGTCCGCAGGCCTATGAGAAGATCGTGGGCTGCAAGGAGAGTGAGACGTGTTTGAGCGTGGATGGCCGCGCCGACCGTGTGTGGCTCTATGAAGGCAACTTTTGTCCCGCCGGGCTCAGCTTCCAGCACGCGAACATGCTTCTAGGTAGGCCCTTGGGATATTGTATGTTTTCCCTTATTGGGCGTAAGAGGATCCTATGTAGGAATCTTTTTCAGAGGGTTTCAACGGCCTAGGCTTGAGTGGGCCTACCAGAAGGAGGAGAGCACGGTGGAGGACTTGCCATGCTGGGCTAGAGAGGGCTAGAAAAGTCTTGACTTCTTGAGACAGTTTTTTTTTTCAGACCCCCTTCATGGCTAGAATTTTCCCCTGACGTCTTTAGACTCGGTTTTTGGCAGGACAGCTTCTACTTGCAGGCGCCATTCGGAAACGATCGCAGATGTCCGGACGGGTCCTTGTGGCTGCGCCGTGCCAATGCCACGTGGGACTTCCACAACCGCACCACCAACTACCTGGAGCTTTACGGCAGATGGGCCTGCAAGCCCCGAACATCCACGAGAAGTGAAACAGCCAACTGTTGTGTGCAAATAAACATAATAATAATCACGAAAGCTAGCTCCTTGGAGCTTGCGAGAGTTGTCGTTTACAAGTCTTCTCTTTAGTGTTCAGCTGGGTCAACAAGCGACCCCGACCCTTAAGTGGTATGAAAATCCAAGGGATAAAGGGCTGTGGGGGGGGGGCGCCCCCTCCCCCCCCTATAGGATTGACAGAATCAATCTTAAGGTGTCCCCCCCCCCCCCCCTTCCGGGTCGCCTTAATTCCTCTGGGGAGGGCCCCCCCCCCCCCCCCCCCCCCCCCCCTCTTGGTCATGCTCGGCTGCGCTGCTGCGCCCGCACTTCTCCTGCCTGACTCAAAAACAGCTTGCTTGTCAGCCGCGTTTCTAGCTTTCGCAGGCCAAATCTCAAGTAATAATAAATAATACGCGTGAAATCATAAGATTAAGGAATTCATGCTTTTAATATAGTCAGCCGCCCTGAGTGAAGCCACAGTCCGTCAAGAAACCGGGCCGCAGAGAGTCGGCAAACAGGAAAGCTTCACGACGGAAGCTGGGGGAAAGTCTGGGGTTTGGGATTTCTGTGGGCCTTGTTTGGTCTTTCCGATTTATCCCGTACGGTCTGTGGGTTTCGGGCTAGCTATGAGACCATTCCGTCACAGAAGGTCATGCCCTAAGCCCGACAAGATGACCCCAAAACCGAGCCAAGAAGAAGACACTGGGTGGCAAAACCGAAAAAGCCCCAAAGAAGATGCTGGGTGTCAAGCCCCGGACCCTCAATGTTAAAGGCCACGTTTGCAACCCCAAACCCTAAAAAGGGTCATAGTGGCTGGCAAACCCTACGCCCTGAAAGGTTGTAGTGGGTCAGCAAGCCCTCAACCTCAAAAGGTCTTACGGCCAACGCCTATGCCCAAGCCCTAGAAGAAGCTCTTGGGTGGCAACCCCCAGACTCTGACGGGTCGTATTCGGTGGCGCTGGCCCTGAACCCGAAAAAGGTCGTCCCTCGGAAGCCCTACAAACCCTGAAGGAAGATATTGGGCGGCAAGGTCTTTCCCTAAAAACTGCAGTGGATGCAAAGCCCAAACCTAAAAGGTCGCGTGCCAAGCCGAAGAAACCTGAAAGAAGATGTTGGGGGTCAAGTCCCGGACCCTAAAAGGTCGTATTGGGTGGCAAACCCGAAAAGCCCCCCCCGAAATCCCCCAAAACCCTAAATAAACCCCAGGACTTCACAATCCCCAAAACCCCTTTAGGGTTCGTAGGGAGCAGAAACTTTAAGACATATGTGTGATGTAGCATCAAGTATGAATTTGTTGAAATTGTGTTAAGCAAGCTTGAATCAAAGTTCATCTGAGTTTCCTGCTTTGGGGCTGTAGATGTTTCTTTGTTCGCTGTGACTTCCTTGCTATGGTTTCTTGACTGTGTCTGGGCTGTTTCCTGAATTTGTTGGGGTTGTTTTCTGGCTGTGTTGGGTTTGTTTCCGACTTTGTTTCCTGAATGTGGCCGCACCCCCCGCAAGACTTAAAACAACAGCATGGAACGAACCTGGTCGGGGGTGTAGGTTGGGATGTTCCCCCTCATACTAGCAACCCTTCATAGGGATGATAATCGGGGGTACTCTAATCTCTATGAAGGGCTGTGAGTATAAGGGGAACATCCCAATGCCATGTGGAGAGCTCACCTCCCGTTAGCTTGCAGACTGCAAGGTTGGCATAGAGTAGTCTGTGCCAATCTGCTCCCACCCCGACAGTCACACAGGTGGTTGGGGCCCAAGAGGCGTTAGATCCGGCATCTGACAAAATATGTTGCAGTTTGGGGTTTGGGGCCTTGAGGGTTTAGCGGGGAGGGGGGGACCTTTTGATGTTGGAGGGAAGATGGGGAAGCGCCCCCCCGGCCCCTCGGTACAGTACCGTGACAGTACCCCCGCGGGATTTGCTTGGCAACCTTACTCTCCCTGCCCGACGGAACAGAGTGTCAACGAATGTCAACCAGGCGAGCTTGTGGCGTGCCTGAGCGGAAACGGCGAGCTGCTGCAAGATGTCTTCGCGCCTCGACAAAGACCATACACAGACCGATGAGGTTCAGGGGGGTTGGGCATCTTAGAAGTTCGTGTCCCGGCTTAAGACGTGATCGTTAAAGTGTCGTGATTCCAAGCTAAAGTCATGGCCATCCATGCAGTCACCATCAACCCTAAACCCTAAACCCTAAACCCTAAACCTTAAATGTTAAACCGAGGACCGAGGCACTGAAAACGTGACTGTGAGCGAGAACGCCACCTACATCGGCGCTGGCATCCAGCTTTCTATCGAGAGCCAGCACTGCACGCAGCCTCCGAACCTGCGCCGCGGCTGACCCGTTTAGTGGCTTCTAAATTTGGGGGTTTACGAAAATAGGGGGCTCCTAAAATAGACCCCAAATAGTAGGATTCACTAGAAATAAGGACCCCCAGTAAGGCACCCCCGAATTTCGGAAACCCCCATGTATTTCGGCGGGTTGTTGCAGAAAGGGCTGTTCAACATTCAGGGGGGCCCAGCTCTCAAGGCACATGGCAGATGCTGACAACCCGATGTCCGATGCCGCCGCCGATGCCGCACAGGCCTCCGACCACGCCCCCGTCCTCCTCGACGACCCGTCGACGACGACTCCCTTTGACTTCAGCCTCGATGCGTGCGAATGCTTCCCTATGTCTTGGGGTGTGCAGAGCCCTGTGCAAGCAGAGAGCTTTCAAGATGTTCCTGCGGGCAGCGAAAACCAGTACATTCCCAGAAGGATTGCGATCGTTCGGGGCTCCTTCATGTGTGAGCAAAAATTTCTCGGGCCCATCGCCTATAGCGTGACGGACGAGGATGCATGCGAAATGTTATGCACCGACTCGCGCCCCGATTGTGGCTTCTATTGGTTTGGTGTCCTGGGCAACTTGCAACAGTGCCGGCTGCATCTTGCCATGCTGTATGGGCACAGTTTCTTGCAGCCCTAAACCCTAAACCCTAAACCCTAAACCCTAAACCCCAAACCCCCAAATTGTCAGCCCTAAGCCGAACGCTTTGCTCTCAGCTCAGTCGGCTGAGGTACAGCCAATGCCACACCTTGTTCCGAGCCGTGGGAGCTTCAGGGACGCTGTGCCCAGGATGATTTCATATGGGGACCATGGGGATGCCCCAAACTTTCTCAAACCCTGATATGATTTTTGCAGTCTTGGGGGATTCACAGATGCCCTGCCTGCTTTCTGGGTTCTTGTGAAGGAACTTAAATTAAGCTACCGAAATAGGTTTAATTGGCAGTAATATGGATTCCTTAAGACATCAGTATACCCACTTTGCTTTCAGGTACGCCCTTCCTCCAGCAAAGTACCTCTGCCGTCGGGCGAACCCGGATGCCTGTTGGGCCATCAGCAAGCGCCGAGAGTTCTTGCATGCGTTGCCCGGACGGCACTGCGAAGATGTGGGGGGTTTCCGACCCTTTAAGGGGATTCTATTTTTGGGGTCTAAAAGGGGTCCTATCTTCAGGAAATGCCCATGTGGGTTTGGCTAGGGGCACAAAGGGCCTGTTCTGAATTGCAGGCTTGGGAAAGGCATGGAAAGGCATTGTGGCAATTGAGGAGGAGATTTGATGAATCTACATACACTAAGGACCATGTGACATAATTCTTATACACAAAAAAGAAACCACAAGCTTTGATGTTCGGGTCTCGGGTTCAGGACCGTTGGAGAGTAGAGTGTGGTGGCCATGAACCCAGCTGGGCAGCTGGTAGGCATGTGTTGCGGCAATCCCTCCTCACCTCCTTAGAGCCTACTTGAGTCAGGGAGCCCGGATGCTCACCAGTTGTGGGTTTTTCTAGCAGATTGGCCTGAGGAGGTGATATATATATATATATATATATATCAAATATGTGTAGTATGTATAATGTGTAGTGTACCTGCTTGGGATCATGGCCTTCAGGACGACTGGTAGCGGCGAAGCAGCGGGAGGTCCCTGTCTTTACCCATCCCTGATAGAGCCTCGCCTGGCAGCAAGCGGGCCATTGTTGCATTCTGGGAGGGGGCGTGCGTTTCGCTCCCAATGTGCGCCTCACGCCAGCATGGGTCAACAGATCAGCCAGAATGGGTGCAGACCGTAGTATGTGTGATCGACATGAGGAACAGTGCGACCAGAAGCTCCTTCTGGGCGGCGAGGGCGTGGAGAAGTGCTTCGGCTGTCTCTTCGCTGAGGTGCCAGAGGGCCTTGAAACTTGCGCAGCCGCAAAGTTTTGGCACGGATAGCATCCTTGAAACGGGCCCTTAGCCAGCCCTGATCACATAAGCCCTGTACACCCATCAAACGTTGTACTCGCCAGGTGGGTGCAGCAGACTGGCAACACAAGAGGCGCCATACCATTTGTGTTGGTAATTCTGCTGCTGCTGCTGCTGCTGCTGCTGCTGCTGCTGCTGCTGCTGCTGCCGCTGCTGTCCTCATCGTCCCACAAGCCTCTGATACTACCCATATTGAGTCAAGGTATTCGGGCACCACGGCATGATGCTTCTCCCTAAGCCTCTGTGAAACACCGCGCACAAGGACTAGAGGCCCTCAGAACCATCTTCTCTGCACAGCCTATCACAGTCCATTTCCACGACTGTGAGTCGTGAGCAGGCATTTCTGCACCCACAAATGTCCAAAACACCGGCCTTGGGGGTGGATTCTTGCTGGCCCATTCAAACATGCGCCCTTCGTGCGACGGCCATCGTCTTGAGCGAATCATGTTTTGTTTGTCTCGCAGTTCCACTAACTGTTCCACTATACGGTCACAGAAAGCTAGCCAGAAAGCGGTTGTGGGGTCGGCGTCAGACGGGCGCCAATCGCACAACCCACCTTTCCTTATGAACCTCGTGAAAAGGCGGCTCCCGAGCAGCTTCGTGACGGGCGCGCAGCTGACAGTCGCCTGCTGGCAGCAGCGATACACGCCTGTAACGCATCCCGAGGCCGAATGCAGCGGATCTTGTCTTGAGGTGTCGGTGCTTTCTGTTGCCGATCTAGATGTTCGTTTTTGCAGTTCGAGATGAGGGAGGGGTAGACTCCTCGGGGACTTGAGCGGTAGGTTGAGACTTGGGCACCGAAGAGGCTAAGAGAAACGAACAGATGCATGTAGGGCTCGCCGTTGTCCCGTGAGCAGGTGCCTGGGCCTTCGCCTGGTGCTCCGACCCTTTCTTGTGTGGGGGGCCGCTGATCTCAATGACCTTCAGTGGACACCGGGAAACGAAGTCTCTAACCTTGATTTCTCATGGTCATGAACATGTGACTGCCATCCTTTCGCAGCGGACCAACCGATCATCATGCTACTTGAAGTTCAATGCAACTGGCTGTTCGAATCATGCAAGTTACTACGTAGATGTTGCCGAAGACTGAATGGCCGTCTCGAAAGGCCACTGGTGGGACGACGGCACAAGCCAGCCGGCGCTGGAAGGCTTCGCCTGCGGCGCGTGCGTGCAAGTTGTGAAGCCTCCCTACAGCCGCCACCAAGAGCAGCTGCGTGGGCTGAACATGGCAGAGCAGGGATGTAGCGCCTTTTGGGGTTTTTTGAAGATGGCCGATTGAGAGCCCACGAAGCGTGCGATGTGATGTGTGGTCATCCTGCGAACACTTTCGAGCCATAGACCGCATGCGAATGCAGTGGCACGGGCCATCACGCGCCATCCAGCTCGAAGCGCGAAACCCCAGCACCTGCCTACCCTAAACCCTAAGCCCTAAGCCCTAAACCCTAAACCCTACACCCGAAACCCCAAACCCTAAACCCTATAAGCCTGGCCCAACTAATGAAGATGAGTGAAGCCGATGCCTGCTGAGGCAAAGACAGGAGCTGTACTTCTCCTCCAGGCTGATGGTCGTACTGCTGGCGGCCCGATAAGAAGTATGAAGTGTAGAACCCTTGTTCTGGGGAGATTCGATCTTCCCTAAACCCCAACTAAACCCTAAACCCTAAACCCTAAACCCTAAACCCTAAACCCTAAACCCTAAACCCTAAACCCTAAACCCTAAACCCTAAACCCTAAACCCTAAACCCTAAACCCTACCCCCTAAACCCTAAACCCTAAACCCTAAACCCTAAACCCTAAACCCTAAACCCTAAACCCTAAACCCTAAACCCTAAACCCTAAACCCTAAACCCTAAACCCTAAACCCTAACCCTAAACCCTAAACCCTAAACCCTAAACCCTAAACCCTAAACCCTAAACCCTAAACCCTAAGCCCTAAACCCTAAACCCTAAACCCTAAACCCTAAACCCTAAACCCTAAACCCTAAACCCTAAACCCTAAACCCTAAACCCTAACCCCTAACCCTAAACCCGCCCGCCACCCCACTCTCTTGTCTTTTGGGGTAGGCGGGCGCTGGTCAAGCGCTCAGTGAGACCCTGCCCGAGTCAGCAGTTGTCACTGAACCCTAAACCCCAAGCTGTCCGCGCACATTGTTGGGTCCTGCATTGCAGGCCCCCTGGGAGGGCCCTGGAGACCCCTGGGTCCCTGGCCCCTGCTTGCTGGGCGGGGCGGTTTTGTTGGGGCAGGGTTGTGGCCCTGGCCCTGGCCCTGGCCCTGGCCCTGCCCCTGCCCCTGGCCCTGGCCCTGGCCCTGGCCCTGGCCGATTCGGCACCTTGCCCCTTCGCGCCAAGCCAAGCTGTCCGCACACCAGTTTTGTGCCTGGTCCACGCCTGCCCTGTTTCAACCCAACCAACCAAGCCTCGCTGCCTTTGCCTGTTTCTGGCCCTGCCATCCCTGGCCTTAGCCCCTTCGCGGCAACCCAAGCTGTCTTCGCAGACCCTGCCTCCCTTTCCGTCTCGCAAATGCCGGGTACTGGTGTCTTCCTGCATCTGGCCTTGTCCTGGCCCTGCTGCAGCTTTGTGCCTGGTCCACGCACCTTGTGGAGGTCCCCAAAACGCGTGAGTGCTGACTCATGTGATGCTTTGTAAAACAATAAAAGGTCTTAACTCCTTGAGAGTTGTAAGTGGGCGGTCTTGGGGTGGTAGGTCTGCAGACTACCGCGCGCTCCCAAAGCGCGCTTCCGCTTGGCACGCCCTAAACCCTAAACCCTAAACCCTAAACCCTAAACCCTAAACCCTAAACCCTAAACCCTAAACCCTAAACCCTAAACCCTAAACCCTAAACCCTAAACCCTAAACCCTAAACCCTAAACCCTAAACCCTAAACCCAAACAGTTTAGGTCCACGGGCCCCATGTCTCCGATTGTCTCCCCCCCTTTGTCCTCCCTCGGTGGCCTCGGCCGAGTAGACGTTACCTTCGGTCCGCAAGTCTGTTGGTTCCCCAGGTGAGGGCTTGCAGTGTGCGCCGTCAGAACTTCACAGGGTTACTGTCACGCATGTATCTGACCGGAGTTGTCATGATTGCTTGTGGTGCATAAGTTGGCCGGAGAGCAGCAACCCTCTTCATTTCACGGGGTTGCTGTTACGCATATGTCTGCGAAATACAGACCAGGACCGGGCTTGGTCATGATTGCGGAGCTGTCTTTGTCAATCCCAACTTCATAAATGCCTTTGGGGTGATGCCAGTTTGCGCTGTAGTCTGTGAACACACCATTTCACTCTGAACTCTTTGGGCCTTGGCTGGTGTAGTTTGAGGGTTTGTTAGCCAAGGTGGACCAGCAGATGCCTGTGATGGTCAACAGCGCCGGTCACCTCGTCCCTGCCCCAGAAAAGAGAGACACAAGGGACGTGGCAAGCACATCCGGCACCGGGACGTCCTGGCAGCAGATTTCCCTCCAGGATCCTGGTTCTGGGTTCTACCTGGAGTATAGGAGGATCTCCGCTCCAGCTTCCTTCTCACTCCTCCGAGAAGGCGACACGATCTTTGCTCTGGAGCCTACATGTCTTGGCTTGCGCATCAGGTATAGGTATGAGGACGCATGCCTGGTCGTTGGAGATGATGGCTACACAGTGCTCTTTGAAGCATGCGCCTCTGCGGCAGGCCTTCGTACGGCGTGGTGCCTCACAGAAGTTGCTCCAAGTCGGGTCACGGTGCGCCGGGTGCAGGATCATGGGGATCCACGGCGGTACCTCAAGTTTGTGGATCGCCATCATGACCCGGCGTGGTTCATGGACAATGAGAGCAAACATCTGCTCTATGACCTGAGCCCTCCGGGCACCCATGTCAATGCTTCTCGGCCCTCTCTGGACTCGGATGCGGTACCTCTGCTCCAGTTCGACTACACAGGGCGAAAGCACGGTGCTGCAGATGCCCGGGCCAGCAGGCGGTCATTTGCGGCAGGCTCTAAACGAGAAAGCAAGGAGACCTGCCTCTTCTATCAGAAGCCTTGGTACTGCCCCGGGATACCCTTCATGGCTGAGCCCCTGAATGCCACCTCGTACGATACCTGGCGGCTGCGCTCCCTCGAGAACTCTGGATGAAGAACACATTGTGCTTCGCTTCGGTCATCGGCTTAGGGGTTTAACAAAAAGGCGCAGAAGGCCTCCAGAAGGCCCCACGCCCCAACAGCGCCTCAACAGCATTAAGCTTCGACTCCCGACCCTGCGACCGCTGCAGGGAATCGACGTGCCTTACGATGGATGCGAAGGGCGTCCTTGGGAGCGAAGCCTGTGCCCCGGAGGAGCTCGGGATGCTCACTGGGAGCAGTGGCCCGGGCAACTTGGGCAGCTTGGGCAACTTGGGGGGCTCTTCCGCCCACGAGTTGTTCAGCGGCTGGGCCTCGACAAGCCCGGAATGCTCTGCTCATGTCTCCTCTTGGGTTTTTGGATGTTTGTTGGGGGGCTCTTAGGGCAGGGCAGGTGACTTCGTGACGTGACATTGAGCGTGCGTGGGCCAGGAGAAACCTCGGGCATGTACCCCAAACCCTTTACTCAAGCAGCGTGTTAGACTGCTGTGCAATGTTTCTTGCAGCTTCCAAAAAGCGCCCTGAAGCCTACCGGAGCTCACAGCTCACGAGGGCGCAGGGCTTTCGAGCGGGAGGCGTCTAGGTTCCCTCCCTTACAGCTCCGTTACAGCATCCGCTATGGCCTGCAAATCATGGTAGAGCCCCGCCCCAAGGCTAGGTGCAAGACAGAGACATGCGGACACCTGCGCCCCTACACCCCACAGACGGAACGCACACATGAAGCGCACCCCCGAAGCGAACCTCCTTCCAACTTCAAGGGTGAGAAGACGCACAAAAAGGTTCAGGAGGGTGTTGCACGTTTTACTGGGTATTGCTTTGGGATAATTTTGCATTTATCTATTGAGTAATAATTTTCAAAGGGCTTCAAAGCAACACCCGGTTTAGGAAGGCTCTGAGAGAGGCGAGAGACGGCACGCGTGTTTCCATCCTCACCGGCACTTCAGGGTTCACCACTCTTTCTGCACTTCAGCCCTAAGTTGTTCATGTTTTTGTGTTTAGGGTTTAGGGTTTAGGGTTTACTTCGGGTTTAGGGTTAAAAGTTTAGGGTTTAGGGTTTAGGGTTTAGGGGTATAACATGGTACAACTGTTTATTGAATTGTATGGTCAACGGGTGCTATCTCCCTACCCGCTGTGAGTATGCGGAGGTGTGCCCATTTTGCATGGCGCGCTGAATGCGACGATGACAGCGACGCATGCTCAATATACCAGACAGTCACAATCAATCGCCAACAGCCTATGGGAAGCACGCATTGTCAGGAATTGCAGTGGCAACCCTCTCCAATTCCTGCGCTTTGAAGGAACAGATGCATGGCATGGTTGTGGAATCACTCCCAGCAAGTCTTTGGGTGAGGTGAAAGAGACGCTCATCGTCCCTTCAGTGCAGGTGAAGTATGGCGAGCGGTGCTTGGCCTTTTCATCAGACACCTCTCGTCTGGATTTCCGCTCGTGCGAGCTGCCATACACTGCTTTCGTATGGAATGGGAGCAAGTTGATTTATAGTATAAGTACAAGACGCTGGTGCCTGTCATTGTTGAATTCCAGTTGGCCGAATTCGGGGTCGTGCACCAGATATGGACAGGCGGGGGGGGGGGGGGGGGGGGGGGGGGGGGGCTGGCGGAGCAACATAGCAGCTACCGCCTGCGATTATCAATCAACTTTAGCTTATCCAAGCCAACCCAGCAACTTTTCCAACAACGTCCCACGCATATGCGCACTTAGACTGCTCATTTCGGACTGATTAATGTTTTGGCTCTTGCAATCTCAGATCCGCAGCCCGGAACCTGAAACACAAATTCGTAGACTAAAATCCAACACTCCTAAACTCCAACCCCTCAACCCAAGCACCATGGTTGCAGGATCAGACTCGATCACCTATTCAATTCTCTGCCGAGTTTTCAGAATGGAAGGGGTCTTGGGTCTCCCTTCTCACTCTTCCTTACACTTCGCAAGATGGGAAGAGGAGAAAGAAGATGAAGAAGCAAGGAAGAAGATCATTTCCACACGTTCCTTTCTTCTTATCTCTCTTCTGATTTCTTCTATTCCCATCTCTGCTGATTTTTCAATCGTGGACTCTCACTCCACCTTTAACGGGGGGCGGTAGCGGGGGGGGGGGGGGGGCGGTGTCGGGGAATGAGGCGGGGGGTGGGGGGGTTGTTCTTAGCTTGTTCCCGAAAACCTTTCATGGTGTTGGTGGGTCCGTGATACTCGGTTGATGGCTCTGAACGCCCTGGTTAGATTGCCTGTTTTGTTGTTGTACTTGGGCTTGGGTCCAGGAAGAAAGGAACGAACAAAGCAATTGAAGTTTGTGAATAATTGGCAACACACGCGAAAGATTTTTGCTGGAGAGGCGAAAAAGATGAAGAAGGGAAAGAACGAAGAGCGGATGGTTTGTGTCTTCAGTGTGTTCTATAAAAACACCTTTAAGCCTCTTCGAGTTTGGGAGCCCTGCCCGAAAGAAGCTACTGTACACCACCCAAAGCCTTATTAGTTAAACCAGTTACTAAACCCAACTGAATGAAGACTCTATCCACCCGAGCCCCGAAACCCAAGCGACCCTACACCACGCTCAGCCCCAAACCCCTTGCCCAAGATCTTGCACCACCCCAAGCCCTGTAAAGCCCCCAACCTCCTCCACACCCCAAAGCCTTAAACCCCAAACCCCAAAACCCCAAAACCCCTCCGCGCCCTCCGCGCTCTCCGCGCCCTCCGCGCCCGGATGCCTCACATCTATTCTCCGCGTGCTCGTTGTTCTTAGCTTGTTCTGGGGTTGGGTTCTCGTTGAGCACTTCATGCACGAAGAGGAGACGGTTAACGGAGGCGGGTCGGACGGAATGAATTTTGACGGGAGGCCACGGAGAGGATACGGTCAAGGGAGGGCTCCGAGGGGTATAGTAGGGGTTTAGGAGTTTAGGTTTGTGCTTTCAACAGACCCTTGACCCTCGACCCAACCCTGACCAATTCCAGGATCCCCACCAGTTGTTCGTATGGGACAGTGAGTCGCTACAGCTCCGACGCGGTCATGGCGGCTGGTGCTTAGGTTGCTGGCCGAGCGCATGCTCATGAATGGACATTTTGTACATGTTTGCAGCACATGTGTGGGCAAAAGTTCTAATCGTCAGTGCGTTCCCTTGACCAGTCCAGGCTCGGCAGCACCTAGCTGGTAAAGCTGGCCATGCAAACCCACGCAATTCACATGTGTAGGAAGGACTGTCGGGTCTTTCCCGTGCGGTGGTCGCAGGGTGCCACAAAGATGCAGGTGCATTCTGACCGCCCCCCCCCCCCCCGAGGCTTTTGCGCACGCGGCGGCTGTATAGATGAAGATCGGGAGAGATACTATGCAAAAGCCTTCCCTTGCCAGTCTGCCGAGACCGAGGGCGTGGAGGTGAAGAAGATGCAGGGAAAAGTCGAATGTCCAGCAGGGTCGCTGCTGACATTTTTGTTCAAACCGCCCAATTCGGGAATCATGGCCCATCTAGAGTCGACTTTGATGTTTGCTGGATTCTTCAAACCTGATTCCCCGGGAAGCTCATTCCCCCGATGTTGTATCAGGATTTATGAACTACCAGTGCGCGGAGATGGCAGGCATGGGCTCTTGCATGGAGTGGGAGACGCCCAAGGTGACGAATTCAGAAGAGGCCTTTCAAAACCTGACCATCGCCTGCCAGCCAAACATGGCCCTTCAGTCCATCTATGTCCAGGAGACCGGCTCGGACAATTCGCCATCGACCAGCTTCCGCTACAGGTGCTGCTACATCACCGGGCTTGTCATGGGCATCGTTCCTTCTGGCTTCTACAACAGGAGCTTGGAGACTTGGGAGGGCACCTACTGCCCAGGCATTCGTGACATCAGCGGCCGCCTCAGGTACGTCCAAAGGAGTTTCTTCGGGCTCGCCGGGGAGCCCTCGACGCTGGCCTTTGACTACAAGCTTGGCAGCTGGTGTTTGGAGAGTCCGTGCCTCGACATGCACGGAAGTCAGAAGATCTCTTCTTGTGTTACCTTGACTTTTGCCTTGTGCTGCTTTTTCTGGTTGCTGCTTCGTGTCAGACGCATGAAGCTGAATCCGCATGAATCTGACATGGTCTCAGAGCCACCGAGTTTCAGAAAGCCTTTCTTGTCAAGAGGCCTTGGCCCAAAACCCCTTAAAATCCCAAGCTCTGATGGCTGATGTGTGTGTGTGTGTGCCCTTCAGGCGCGGAAGAAGCTGCGTGCAGAGCTCCGTGCCCATGCCCCTGGACGCTGGAAACCTTTTAGGTCCCGGGTGGCAGGTCGTGGAGGCGATCCACAAGTGGTGTGCCGAGCTCCAAATCCCCGAAGTCCGGGAAGCCTAGACCCTAAGCCCTAAACATCGAAAGCCCAAAAGCTCGTAAACCCTAAACCCTGAACTCCTAAACCCTATGGGTTCCTAAACCCTCAACCCTTCCGAACGGCCCAAATCTTCTAAAGCACTGGGATGGCTTCTGAAGGCACTAGCCTACATCAAGCCAGAGAACGTGCGTTGCGTACGCATACCTTAAAGACATCGGCAGGTGTCAGACTTCAATGGAAACTTTGTTGCCCGAGGCAGGTGGGCCGTGTGCTGCTTCGGCTTAGAACTCACCCTTCTCCGTGCCTGTAGCCAGTACACTTTAGGTCAGTAGAGCCTCTTGTGTATGTGTGTCATTTCTCCGGACATGTTTACGCACGTTTAGCGTAGATGCGAAACCCAAAGGCAAACGATGTCGTTCGTTGGCTGTTGAAAGAAAATATTCCAGGGTTGAGCGCTGCCATGGATGACATGTTCAGAAGACTTAGTGCCTCGACACCTGGTAAGTCCGCAACTGCGGCAAAGGGTTGATAGGGTTTATTTTGTTTATCGGGTTTATCGGGTTTATAGGGTTTATAGGGTTTACAGGTTTGTTTTTGGGTTTGTTGATGGTTTGGGGTTTATAGGGTCTATAGGGTCTGTAGGTTTTATAAGGTTTCTGGGGCTCATAAGGTTTACAGGGTTTACAGGGTTTCGGAACACGGAGGAGACGCCCGTTCGCGACCTGCGCGTTTTTTTTTGAGACCTTTAAAGCCAGAATCGAACACACGAACCCTAAACCCTAAACCCTAAAGCGCCTAACGTCGAGCGATTCCGCACATTAAACCCTAAACCCTAAACCTTAAACCCTGAACCCTGAACCCTGAACCCTAAACCCTAAACCCTAAACCCTGAACCCTAAACCCTAAACCCTAAACCCTAGACCCTAAACCCTGGAAAGCTTGGGTTGCGGCGCATTTGCAGGCGTCGCCTCGCAACCGGAAGCGTCGGCACCGAAGGCGATCATTTGCAGCTCCGGGGGTTTTTGCAGGTGTTTCGGAACTGCTCGACACTGACCCTTTAGGTGGGCTTAGCATCAAAGAACCCCCATTATCGGCTTCTCGGCTTCTGTATTGAGGCCTTAGACTTCAACACGCCTAACCACTGATGCCCCTGAGCTGGAGCCTGGGTCTTGCTAAGACCTCAGGCCGTGCGGCAGAAGCCGGCGCTGGTGAGCTTCAGCACCGACAAGCCATCTGTTCCGGAAGAGTGTAAGGAGATGGTCCCAGCGCTTCGGCGCGAGCTTTCATATGAGACTGTGGGGGACAGATTGGGCATTAGGGTGCGACCCAAGTGGCCCCATGTAGCAGGGAAAGCACACACAGCGCAAGGCTTTGCGAATTTCGGGGTCCGGGTTCCGTGATCACAAGTGTGGCCTATATATACATATATATATATATACCTCTCTACTGAGAACCAGGACTGGGAAATCGCCCAGGGCCTCAGCGACGAGAATCCCTGCAAGCTTGTATCCGGCAAGAAGCCTCGGGGCTACAAGGACTTCGACCGCCACCCCGAAAAATATGGCAGCGCGGCTTTCTGGGGTGACTGGCACATCCACGATAGCTATGACGACCTTGACGAGGGATCCGGTGGGGCCGGCTTCAGCTACTCCAACATCATGGGCTGCTGGAGCCGAGAGGGCAAGAGAGGGCGCATCGTCTCCGAATGGCTGCGGGATTCGCAGCGCGGGCAGGCCCGCTACCGATGGAGTTTCCAAGCCCTAAGCCCTAAGAGCCCTAAGGGCCCTGAGAGCCCTAGACCCCCCAAGATCCCCAAGCGCCCTGAGCCCCTTAAGCACCCTAAGCGCACTAAGCACCCTAAGGGCCCTAAGCGCCCTAAGCCCCCTAAGCGCACTGAGCACGTTAAGCCTAAGCCCCAAGCCCGAAGCATGCGCGCGACATGCGGAAAATGCTCCCCCAGCCTATATCCCACCCCAAACCCAAATGAAGTCAAAAATGAAGGCCCTTGAGCAAACATCCCCATTCGCCTGCGTGTCAGATCAGCCGAGACCTCGTCGCTGCCGTTGGAACGGGAGCCTGCCTTCTTTTGGGGGACATGACGTTTGCGCCCGGCGGCTTTGGCTCTCAGGTGATGGCATGAGGGCCTTAGTCCCCCTAAGGCCCGAAAGGCCCTTTGTTAGGGCTTTAAGGTAGGCTGCTTTGAGTTTAGGGTTTGGGGTTTAGGGTTTAGGGTTTAGGGTAGCTGTTGCTCATGGAACGTGGTACATTGGTTACTGTACTCTCAAGCTTACATGACGGTGTTTAAAGATGCACAAGTGGACGACCGAACATGAAAAAACTCCTCCTGCTGGCCCCCTGCTAGGTCAAAGCGGGAGATGTCTGCGGCGCCGGCATTGACATTGGGGTTCAGGCCGGAGATCAATAAAACTGAGAGCAGAAGTCCTGAAACAACCTGTCCACTGTCAGCATCATGACGAGCCCTAAAGCCTAAACCCTAAACCCTAAACCCTAAACCCTAAACCCTAAACCCGGGACCTTTCGGGTTGAGGGCTAAATTTCGAAGCCACCACTGAGGCCAGCCAGGTCTATCTCGTTGAGACGGAGGTCCAGAACTCAAAGAGGCCCTGGGCATTGCTTTGGGATAATTCAAATGTCCTTTTTTTCCCTTTTAAGGGAACCTATTCAAAAGTAATTTTCAAAGGGCTTTAAAGCAACACCCAGAGGCAGGAAGATCGTGACGCAGCAGACTGTTCGGGTGCTGCTTGGCGCAAGACCCCCACATCCCTCCGACCATCTCCTTTTGCTGAGAAGGGTGGCTCTGCAAAGCTTCGCACACCAGCTTCCTGAACCCTGAACCCTGAACCCTGAACCCTGAACCCTGAACCCTGAACCCTAAACCCTAAACCCTAAACCCTAAACCCTAAACCCTAAACCCTAAACCCTAAACCCTAAACCCTAAACCCTAAACCCTAAACCCTAAACCCTAAACCCTGTCTGCTGCTTGGCCACGCAGGGGAGCTGGCACAGCACAGTGCTTGATCTGTCCGCAGTAAAGACTGAACTGAGGAAAGTGCAGCTTTTGCCCGGATTTGGTGCGATCTCCACTGCGTGAAGTCAGCTGTGCAGGAGCAGATATGAACACGACCCTAAACATCCCCAAGCAGCCCAATATACCCAGTAACCCCCCAAACCACCCTGTAACCCCGAAGATTTTTTGGGGGTCTTCATCATGGTTCGTGGCTGGGAGCACCGGCCTAAACCCCCTTAAAAAAAAGAAAACAGGGGTTTAAGAAGTTTTGGGGCTTTGGAATTTAGGGTTTCAGGTTAGGGGGCCCCCTTGAGGAGGGTGATGCTGCCATCCTCCACTCACTCGAGAAGGCTCCCTTCTTTGCGGCGTTTTCTGCCCAGAAACTCCAAAACCCCTTACTTAAGGAATAAACCTTAAATCATATTGGGTTCCTATGATAATTTTTAAGGGATATTCCGTAATTAAGGGGTTTTGGAGTCTCTGGGTGTCTGCTGTGCTCACTGTAGGCAGGTGAGCACCTCTTGGATGATCGAGGGGGTTCGTCGAAAGGATACGAAAAGGGGGGAAGCCTGCCTTCATGGCTATCATGGGGATAGGTATGTTGAACAACTACGGGTACCATGCATAGATGGGACGATTTCCGTTGCTGTGCTCTTGGGTGGCCAGAACAGGCAGTGAAGGTGCTCGACACCAATGTGGACCTCCTCACCGAGTATTACACGGGCCTTGTGGGCGACAAGGCGCAGATGCGCTTCGGAGGGGAGAAAAACTCATAGTCAATTGTATATATATATATATATATGTGCATATATTATGTGCATATATTACGTTATATATATATATGTGCATATATATATATATATACATATTGAGTTATGTAGATATATATATATATATATATACATAGATGAGAGAGGGACCTTTATGTACTATGTTGCTACCTGTTTTTCTTCATATATGGAGAATGTATTACAGAATTAAAAGAATCAAACTATTTAAATTCACGGGCCACGAAAAGAATTTAAATAACTTAAATAGATGATTTAAATCATTTTTTTTAAATTCACGGGCCCCGAAACTAATTCAAATAATTTTAACGCTACGCGACCCGCCTCGGCCCGGCCCAGCGCATCCGCGTGAGCATGGTGATTCCACAGCGCACAAGTCGCTGGACCCCAAGCAATAAGGGTTGGGTTTAGGGTTTAGGGTTCCGGGTTTATTGTTTTATGGTTTGGGGTTTAGGGTTGAGGGTTAGTTTAGGATTGAGGGCTTAGGGCAGGGTTGAGCCAGGCCCCTCAAAGGGGGGGGGGGGGGGGGGGGGGGGGGGGGGGGGGGGGAAGGGGGCGGGGGGCTGGGGGTCCTGCTGGGAGGGGCTTCAACTGCCTCTGGTCCTGGCGAACCGTCCGCTTGCGGACCCCAGAAAAGGATTTGGAGGGGGGTGCCTGTTCTGACAACCTATACACCTCCGGCCCGAGGCCTCGGCGGATTTAAACATCACTTATTTTGATTATTCAAATTTTTCAAATTCACAGGCCCCGAGAATAATCTAAAAAAATAAAACAAATTAAATAAATGATTGACATTACTTAAATTATTTAAGTTATCTAAATGGTCTGGCTTCTGAGGAAGTCCAATATATGTAAATTATTTAAATTATTTAAATTCACGCGCCTGGAAACTAATTCAAATATCGCTTCTTTAAATTATATAAAATATCCAACGTAATGTGATAATTTTCATTCACGGGCCCGAAATTAATTTAGAAAACTTAAATAAATGATTCAAATTATATGAATTAGTTTCGGGACCCGTGAATTTAAATAATTTATATGATTTGAATCTATCGGGTTTTCTCAGAAGCCAGACCATTTAGATAATTTAAATGTTCCAGATCTAGATAATTTACATAATTTAAATGATTTAAATTACATTATTTAAATTATTTTCGGGGCCCGTGAATGTAAACAACGTAAATAATTTAAGTAAGTGTTCTAAATCATTTGAATTAGTTTCGGGCCCGTGAATTTAAATGATTTAAATCTATTGGGTTTTTCTCAGAAGGCAAATAATTTAAATAATGTAAATACTGCAAATATTGTAAATAATGTAAATAATGTAAATAACTTCAACAATTTCAAGAATTTAAATCATTTCTCTAAATTATTTAAAGTATTTTCGGGGCCCGTGAATTTGAATGACTTAATTTTTTTAACTTAGTTTCGGGGCCTGTGAATTTAACTAATTTTCATAATTTAAATCTATTGGGTTTTCTCAGAAGCCAGACCATTTAGATAATTTACATAATTTACATAATTTCAATAATTTAAATAATCCAAATTATTTGAATACTATAAGTAATCTAAATAGTTAAAATCATTAATTTAAATTATTTAGATTCTTTTCGGGGCCCGTGAATTCAAATATTTTAAATACTTTAAAGAAGTGATTTAAATTATTTGAATTAGTTTCGGGGCCTGTGAATTCCAATAAATAAAAAAACTCAACCTATTGGGTTCTCTCAGAAGTCAGACCATTTTGATAGTTCAAATAGTTTCAGAAATTTACATAGTCTACATAATGTAAATAATCTACATAATATAAATAATAATATAAATAATGTAAATGATTCAAATACTTTAAATAATTTAAACAATTTCAATAATCTAAGTATGTTAAATAATTTTAGGAGTTTAAATAACTTAAAACATTTAAATCATTATTATAGATTATTTGAATAATTTTCGGGGCCCGTGAAGTTAAATAATGTAAATAATTAAAATAAGTGATTTAGATTATTTGAATTAGTTTCGGGGCCTGTGAATTCCAATAAATAAAAAAACTCAACCTATTGGGTTCTCTCAGAAGTCAGACCATTTTGATAGTTCAAATAGTTTCAGAAATTTACATAGTCTACATAATGTAAATAATCTACATAATATAAATAATAATATAAATAATGTAAATGATTCAAATACTTTAAATAATTTAAACAATTTCAATAATCTAAGTATGTTAAATAATTTTAGGAGTTTAAATAACTTAAAACATTTAAATCATTATTATAGATTATTTGAATAATTTTCGGGGCCCGTGAAGTTAAATAATGTAAATAATTAAAATAAGTGATTTAGATTATTTGAATTAGTTTCGGGGCCTTTGAATTTCAATAATTTGAATAGTTTAAATAATTCATCTTTTTATTTAAATTATTTTCGGTGGCCCGAGAATTTACATAATTTTAGTTACTTAATTAGTTTTTTTGTAAATTATGTACATGATCTAAATGGTCTGGCTTCTGAGAAAATCCAAGATATTCAAATCACGCAAATTCACGCGCCTGGAAACTAATTCGAATAGTTTCACAGAAGGGCCTGCCATGGGGCCTGCGTTTTTTATTTTCATACTGCATGTCCTATGTTTCTTCTTAGGTTTCGTGGTCCTCATGGCAGGCCTTTCTAGATAGCCCATCTGTGTGCGTGAGTGTGTGCGCGTGACGCATTGAGAAGCCAAGCGTTGTAAACACGTCCTGTGTCTACAAACAGGCCGGGTGTTTATGAACAGGCCGGGTGTTTATAAACAGGCTGGGTGTTTATAAACAGGCTGGGTGTTTATAAGCATATCAATCTTCTGGCGGGGTGCACGTCCTGTGTTTATAAACAGGCTGGGTGTTTGTAAACATATCAATCTTCGGGCGTGGTTGGGTGGGGGTGGGGGGTGGGGGGTGGGGGTGGGGGGTGGGGGTGGGGGTGGGGGGTGGGGGTGATGTTGAGGCTGAGACCCCCCCCCCCCTGCCCCTCCCCCCCCCTCCCTTCCGCGGATTCAAGCATCGAGCATCAACGTTCTTACTCGCTTGCTTCGGCGACAGGTTCCCTTGAACACTAATTATATTCACTAAATCTTAAACGGATAAGGTTTAGGCCTTAAACGAATAAGGCTTAGGAATAGGGTTTGGCCAAAAATACTATATATGATGTATTATGTATTATGAATTATATCTTACACATTTTTCTTATAATATAATATGTTTTGTACTATATATATATATGTATATATATATATATACAAAGGTCAGATTATTTGGAATTCCGTGACAAGGGCCAACAAGTTTTCGGACTCCCTACTGTGCAGCGCAATCCCTAAACTTCCCGGCGTAAGCCTTAGAAGCCCCAGGAATGGTTTACCCTGAACCCGAAACCCTACACCCTACACCCTAAACCCTAAGCCCTAAACCTTAAACCCTAAACCCTAAACTTTAAACCCTACTTGGAGGTTCAGCGTGCTTCGAAACGTACAACCCACATGTCAGCCCCTTAAGTGCCTAATAGGGTTATATTTGAGTTATCAATACAGTGAGAATTGGGTTACTAAGTACAATGAACCTCCAATTATCCAGGTGGATACGGTCCTCGAGGAAGTGGAGAAGCTGAAGACGACTACCAAGTCGCCTGATGCAGAGCTGTCGGAGCTGCGCGCTGGCCTGCGGCAGAGCTTTGATGAGGCCCCCTTCTCATTATCAGTATTGTTATTGCTATTATTATTATTATTATTATTATTATTGTTATTATTAGTATTATTTATTATTATTATTATTATTCTGATGATTAGTATATTATGACAATTATTATTTTAATCATCATTATTCTTATTATTATCATTATTCCCGAAAGCATCGCGAAGGGTTCTTCCGTGCGGAGCCCTCTGACCCAACAACATAGAGTGAAGTACATAGAGTGAAGTGCATAGCGTGAAGAGCATGGAGTGAAGTGCATAGAGTGAAGCGCATAGAGTGAAGTGCATAGAGTGAAGTGCATAGAGTGAAGTGAATAGAGTGAAGTGCATAGAGTGAAGTGCATAGAGTGAAGTGCATAGAGTCAAGTGCATAGAGTCAAGTGCATAGAGTGACGTGCATAGAGTGAAGTGCATAGAGTGAAGTGCATAGAGTGAATTGCATAGAGTGAATTGCATAGAGTGAATTGCATAGAGTGAATTGCATAGAGTGAAGTGCATAGAGTGAAGTGCATAGAGTGAATTGCATAGAGTGAAGTAGAAGTTAATAGAAATTACGAGATTTACGTAGAATTTAGTAGACCTTCGTACCCAGTCCTAGATTTCTTAATTAAAATTACTCTTTCTAAGGCGGCGGGCTGGGTTGACATCGCCAATCGGGATTGCAACCCTCTGCGGGTTTCGGCGTGGTCGCGGTGCTAAAACCGTCGTTTTTTTACGTTTCTTTCTGGCCGCAGACAACCTTCTGCGGGTTTCGGCGTGGTCGCGGTGCCAAAACCGTCGTTTTTTTACGTTTCTTTGTGACCGCGGACAACCCTCTGCGGGTTTCGGCGTGGTCGCGGTGCTAAAACCGTCGTTTTTTACGTTTCTTTGTGTCCGCGGACAACCCTCTGCGGGTTTCGGCGTGGTCGCGGTGCTAAAACTGTCGTTTTTTTACGTTTCTATCTGGCCGCGGACAACCCTCTGCGGGTAATCGCCGGGTCACGGTGCTAAAACTGTCGTGTTTGGTACTTTTTTTCGTGGGCGCAGACAACCCTCTGCGGGTTTCGGCGTTGGCGCGGTGCCAGAACCGTCGTGTTTTTGCGTTTGTTGACATACAAACGTAATCCCTCTGCGGGTTTCGGCGTTGGCGCGGTGCCAAAACCATCGTATTTTTGCGTTTCTTGACATGCAAACGTAACCTCTGCGGGTTTTCGCGTGGTCGCGGTGCGAAAACCGTAGTGTTTTTGCGTTTTTTTGTCGACTTGTGTAGTACAGACGTAGTACGCCGGGGACTTCCGTGGCTGGAAAATCGAGTTTTGTAGTACAAATGTAGTACGCGTCCCCGGAGCTTCCGTGGCTGGAAAGTCGATTTTTGTAGTACAGACGTAGTACGCCGCGGACACGCGGAGCTTCCGTGGCTAGAAAGTCGAGTTTGGTAGCACAGATGTAGTACGCCGGGGACACCCGGAGCTTCCGTGGCTGGAAAGTCGACTTTTGTAGTCACCCGGAGCTTCCGTGGCTGGAAAGTCGACTTTTGTAGTACAGACGTAGTACGCCCGTCGCAAGTACCATGGTCCATCGCGAAAACCATGGTCCCCGAATCGCTGTTTCCAAAACCCATCGCAAATACCATGGTCCCCGAATTCGCTGGTTCCAAAACCATCGCGAAAACCATGGTCCCCGAATTCGCTGTTTCCAAAACCATCGCAAATACCATGGTCCCCGAATTCGCTGGTTCCAAAAGCATCGCGAAAACCATGGTCCCCGAATTCGCTGGTTCCAAAACCATCGCAAATACCATGGTCCCCGAATTCGCTGGTTCCAAAACCGTCGCAAGTACCATGGTCCCCGAATTCGCTGGTTCCAAAAGCATCGCAAGGGGACTTCCGTGGCTGGAAAGTCGACTTTTGTAGTACAAATGTAGTACCCCGGAGCTTCCGTGGCTAGAAAGTCGACTTTTGTAGTACAAATGTAGTACGCCGGGGACGCCCGGAGCTTCCGTGGCTGGAAAGTCGACTTTTGTAGCACAAATGTAGTACGCAAGGACGCCCGGAGCTTCCGTGGCTGGAAAGTCGACTTTTGTAGTACAAATGTAGTACGCCGCGGACACCGGAGCTTCCGTGGCTGTAAAGTCTAGCACAAACGTAGTGCGCCGCGGACACCCGAGCTTCCGTGGCTAGTGGCTGGAAACGCTGCTTCCAAAACCATCGCAAATACCATGGTCCCCGAATTCGCTGTTTCCAAAACCATCGCAAATACCATGGTCCCCGAATTCGCTGGTTCCAGAAGCATCGCAAATACCATGGTCCCCGAATTCGCTGCTTCCAAAACCATCGCAAATACCAGTGCAGGGTCCCCGAATTCGCTGCTTCCAAAACCATCGCAACACCAGTGCCAGGGTCCCCGAATTCGCTGCTTCCAAAAGCATCGCAAATACCATGGTCCCCGAATTCGCTGTCCAAAACCATCGCAAATACCATGGTCCCCGAATTCGCTGTTTCCAAAACCGTCGCAAATACCATGGTCCCCGAATTCGCTGGTTCCAACAGCATCGCAAATACCATGGTCCCCGAATTCGCTGCTTCCAAAACCATCGCAAATACCAGTGCCAGGGTCCCCGAATTCGCTGCTTCCAAAGCCATCGATCGCAAATACCATGGTCCTCGAATTCGCTGTTTCCAAAACCATCGCAAACACCATGGTCCCCGAGTTCGCTGGTTCCAAAACCATCGCAAATACCATGGTCCCCGAGTTCGAGGGTTCCAAAAACCATCGCAAATACCATGGTCCCCGAATTCGCTGGTTCCAAAACCATCGCAAATACCATGGTCCCCGAATTCAAAACCATGGCAAATACCATGGTCCCCGAATTCGCTAGTTAAACCATCGCAAATACCATGGTCACCGATTTCGCAAAATCACATGGTGCTCCAATGCCGGGCGTGCGAAAACATCGCACATTTCATGGTTATTTAATTCCCGGCGTGCGCAACTCACTTCGGTCAGATTTCACTGTGCTTCTCTGCTCTTTGAAGCTCCAAGGTCTTCTTGCCAACCTCGCTCTTCTGTCCATTTTTCTTTGAAAGGCGCTCTGGAGTGTGAGCTTGGACTTCAGAGCGACTGCCGATGATGCTCATGGCTGACGGCTCTCGCGTTAGATGTTTTTGTCTTTTCTTTCATAGCATCGCGTTGACAGGACGTGCACAGCCGAGTCGGGTGCATGCAAGTGAAGTTCATACAGTTCAAGTCCGTTTATTTCAGATCTATTGAATGCCAATGAAGTGTATAGAGTTGACCGCAAGTGCATGGCATTCAGCTCAACACACTTGAATGCCATGCAGTTCGAGTGCATACACGTCCAGTATACAAGTGCAGTATACAAGTGAGTATGCAACCATATAAGTGCATACACTTAAGTGCATACACTCAAGTGCATAGACTCAACGCACCGCAAATCGATGCTTTCGGGCCAATCGTCTTCTAGTTTTTATCGTTATGTTTTCCAAGAAGGCACCGCGAAGGGTTCTTCGGAAAAAATCGCTTGCCGTACTGCACCACACCAACACCAGCGTTGCCTGGGAACCCTCTGCCGGGATCGTGCGTGTCGAAGCGCTCTCACTGCGCTTTTTGCGCATTTTGAAGCTGCGGGGATCGTGCGTGTCGAAGCGCTCTCGCTGTGCGTTTTTGTGCATGTTGAAGCTTGTTTGAAACCCTCTGCAGAGATTGTGCGTGTCGAAGTTCGAGCCTGGCTTGCCTCGGGGCGAAAGTGTTGGCTTACTTCATCTCGAACATTCTCCTCTGGGAACCCCATCTGAACCCCTTTTAATCCCCCTCTCCCCCATGTGGGCTGGTTTTTGTGTTCTGAGATGCGGGGCCTTACAGCGGGACTCGACTATGCGGGCCAAGCGGCCTTCCAGCGCGCCATCGGCCACTTTGTGGGGGCCACGGGCTCAGGACATGTCAGGACGTTCGGTGAAAAGTTTGAGGATGGTAACTGGCTCTTGGACATCTACGGTTCAAGAGGACTTGTAGCTTCGTAGGTTCGTGCCGAGGCTGTGCGCGATCTCAGCCCCAACAGCTCGGCCTTATCCTTCCTCGTGGACCACACTGCACCGGGGCAGCATTTCAGCGTGTGGATCGTCTGTCTGTCCTTATACATGCAGGATTCAGTTTTCTGGCTCTCTTCTGCATTGGTACCCTGAGGACCGCTTGCACAGCACTTTAACGCACGCCCATGCGCGTCACCGGTTGAGCCAAAGCGGCGCTGTGGCTGCGCGTGTCACCGAAGCGGCCGGCGCACTGCAACAGCTGACCCGCTCCCGCAACCACCTCCTTGGAGTCTACCACCACCGTGCTGCCGCCGCCAAGGAGGCCCAGAGCAAACTCAGCCAGGGCGCTGCGCAGTTGGCGCATGCCGGGCACAGTGGAGTGGTCCAGACCCGCAGTCTCACGGCGCTGCTGGAGCAGTACACAGCGCGCCAGATTCTCACGGACTTGGACCACAGCTGGTGGACGCTGCGTGCGGCCTTCGATGCCTACTTGCAGGTGGCGGAGGAGCAAACGGACGCCTTCCGTTTCGACCTCAGCAGGGTGAATGCTGATTTGGCATCGAAGATGCCTCTCAAGCGACGTAGGATGCAGGCTCCAGAGCATGCCCCATGATCTTTGACAGCCCCCGGCAAACATTTGAGGTGTGGCAGCCACATTGCTGCACGACTACACGCACTGCAAGGCGAGTAGTACTAATATTATTATTATTAAGATTATTAATACTATTAATATTATTAATGCTGTTAATCATATTCCAAAATCCCTGGTAGCCATTGCGCAAGGTGGACTTCGCGACGCTGCGGGAGGGTTATGCCAAGCTACAAGCGGTGCAGCACAAGGCCCATGAGGCCCTGAAGCAGACGTGGTCGACTGCGGTGCCGCTTTCGGGCCTGCCGCTTGATCCATGTTGAGCTTTTGCTATAGCTTGCTGCTAGAGCCCTTAAGGACACAATTATGCTTAGGCCCCTGGAAGTAGAGGGTAGTTTTCTGGATGTGCCGCTTGTTCATCATCCGTCCCGCGAAGCAGACGCTCAAAGCCCCACGAATCCAAGGCTGGTCGCGAAGATCGTGGACAACAACGCCTTGGCCGAGATTGCCAGAAGCGAGGCTCGGGCATCCCTCAGCAACTGGGCAGTGACGATACCAAAGCGTTGAGGTGCGGGTTGTAAGGTCTGACATGGGACTTGAGGGTGTAGATCCGGTGTTAGGGGCTTATCCACAGCAGGTTTTTGAGAGCTTTCGGGCTTCGGGCTGTGCACGGCTAAAGGATCGTGTTTCCGTACTTGTGGCGGGCAGGTGCGACAGCCCACAAGTCTCAACATGTTGCCTTGAAGTTCGAGTGGCGATTTCTTTTGGGTGTGCCAAGAAGTCGAAGCATGTCGGAAACGAGGAAGGACCGAGGACTGAACGACCATGAACCCTGGGCCCTATAACTTGAACTTTTCGAGTGCATGGGCGAGTCATGTCACGTTTCCGGTGGCTTCGCCCAAGTTCAGGGCAAAATGTCCCCCCCCCCAAACCCTAAACCCTGAAGCCTGAACCCTAAACCCTAAACCCTGAAGCCTGAACCCTGAACCCTAAACTCGAAACCCGAAACCCTAAACCCTAAACTCCCTAAACTCCCTAAACTCCCTAAACTCCCTAAACTCCCTAAACTCCCTAAACTCCCTAAACTCCCTAAACTCCCTAAACTCCCTAAACTCCCTAAACTCCCTAAACTCCCTAGACCCTAAACCCTCAACCCCAAACCCCCCAGACCCCAAACCCTAAACTCAAAGGCAGCGAGGGCGCAAAGCTTTGCCAAGCGGGTGGCCTACAGCTTGCCTCGGTGGCGGTCAACCATTCGTTTGACGAGGCCTCAAAACACCCAAACCCTTAAACCTAAACCCTCAGCCCTAAACCCTAAACTTCCTAAACCCTAAACCTCCACCATTAGAATTCAGGTTCAGACTGCTAGAGTTCAGATCCAGGTCCGTACGATGGTCGTGCAGGGTGGATGGTGGTGCTGGCGCTTTCGGGGGCAAGGTATGCGGGTGTCGAACTCTTCCCAGGAAGCGCGTGTTCGGGTAGGGGATTCGCTTCAAGCGGGTTCAGGGAAGGGGCATGGGGCGCACCAGCCATAAGTAGGTACGACCCTGTTGGGTTCCTATGTGGGAAATGACGCTCCCGTGTAGAAAAGGGCATACATGTGGGCTTGGGGGGTCATGGTTTCGTCGTAAATCCAAGAGCTTTGGCATCGTCCGACGTAACGAATCGCGCTCTTGCCCAGGGCCTGTGCACATCCCATGGTACAAGGAAGGCTCCCGTCTTGGTCCCGTGCATTTTTTTTGCTCAAACATCGCTCGATGTTGTGAAAACGTGGCGGGCGAGTGCTTTCCTGCCTCTTGGGCTTTCGGACTTCTCCCAAGCTCCATAAGCTGAAAAGCCCTCTAAGCCCTATAAGCCCTCCAAGCCCTATAAGCCCTATAAGCCCCATCAGCCCTAGCCCTATAAGCCCAAGCCCTCTAAGCCCCATAAGCCCTGGCCCTATCAGCCCTATAAGCCCCACAAGCCCGATAAAGCCCTAAGCATGAGCCCTGTAAGCCCTCTAAGCCCCAAACGCGATGGAATACTTCTTTTAGTGCTCGTGCCAAAAGCACTGCTTGGGCTTTCTCGAGGTCTACGCTGGCATTCTTCTTTTCCAAACCCTAAACCCGAAACCCTGAACCCTAAACCCTAAACCCTAAACCCTAAAGGACCTAGGCATTCTCCTTTTTGGGTTTGGGTTCTGAGACGAGGCGTGCCCGATTAAGAATGACTATTTGGGTTCTAGGGGTTGAGAACGGGATTTTTCCTTCTAGAATGTTTCGGGTTGCGCTTGGTCATCTTGCATAGAAACATGGTGTCTATTTTCCAAGATGTTTGTAGATGGTTGAAGACATTCTCCCTTTTTGCTCCTTTTTATGCTCCATGTCCAGTCAGTGTTTATTGAGCTTCCGCGTTGTGAACTGGCCAGGGAGCTCTCTTGAACAGATGGCCTAAGCCCTAAACCCTAAACCCTAGACCCTAAACCCTAAACCCTAAACCCTAAACCCTAAACCCTAAACCCTAAACCCTAAACCCTAAAACCCTAAACCCTAAACCCTAAACCCTAAACCCTAAACCCACACAGGCCTGGCACCCAAACTGAAGTGTCTCTGTCCGTCAGGGCACTCAACATCGCACGAAGACCTGCCATATTTGCTTCAAGATCTTGTGCTCCTGAGATTTCAGCATCGTCCAGGAAAGACGTAACTCTGATTAGGTCATCGGAATCGATCCCACCCTGGTGCTTTCGAACCCTGAAATCTGTACGGGAATCTTCAAAAGAGCGGTGATTGAACCGCTGGAGCGATAGGATACCTTGTTAGGGTTTAGGGTTTAGGGTTTAGGGTTTAGGGTTTAGGGTTTAGGGTTGCGGGTGCAACTGTGGCTGCTCCCTTGCTCAGGGCTTGGCGGGCCAGACTGTGCAGCAGCTCTTCCTCATGCTGTCTTGATGGCGTTCAGGGGGCTGGCTTAAAGCACCATGAACCCTAAACCCTAAACTCTAAACCCTAAACCCTAAACCCTAAACCCTAAACCCTAAAACCCTAAAACCCTAAACCCTAAACCCTAAACCCTAAACCCTAAACCCTAAGCCCTACATAAGCCGAGGCAGCTCATCCTCGTCTTTGCCGAAATGAGCATGCTCAAGGACCGCTTCGAGTCTGCCGGGCTCACGGCAAAGGACGCGGATGTCATGGACCAGTCCGTGCAGAGGAGAAGTTTAGGGTTTAGGGTTTAGGGTTTCGGGTTTAGGGTAAGTGGTTTCTGTGGATTCTTGCGAGCGGCTGCATTTACAAACCTACGTCAACAAGAGTGATTTTTCGAGGTTGGACATCACAACCGGTTTCTTTGGATGTTGCGTGGCAGAGCATCCGACCGTTTATACAACCGAAGCACATCGAGTATGGGGCTGGAGCAGCTACTGCAAATACTGGACCCTAATCTTCCTAAGCCCCAAACCCTGTGGAAGTGGTGCATTCTCCCGATGGTGGTCTTCTTTGGGGTTCTTATTGTAAGGCGGGCCACTCTTGTTTAGGGTACCCAAAAAAGGGACCCCTTAATTTGGGGAACTCACCAAGTTCAATCACAAACAGGAGCTTGGAGCTTCTGCAGGCCATGGGGGCAACTCGAGTCTCCATAGCAGAGGACTTGCAGGCAGATGCGGATTGCTAGGGGGCTTTTGGGGTGTCGCTCGGTCAAAGTCCGTGGCCGCTGAGAACTAGAAGGTTGGAGTTCTGAATGGTTATAGGATCTTCAGAATCTTCAACATACCAGTTTCAGTTTCCTATCGTTACAGATATATTCGACCTTCTGGTGATCGTAGCTATAAGGGAGCAGCAGGCGAAACCTGCCTGGGGTGCTCCTAGGGCGGCCTTTGGCGGCCATGATCGGGAATCGGGAGCGCAATTGCACTGTGGCTGTTTTTTTTCTCATGCGTAGCAACATAGGCAGCACAATCTTGCATCAACAGTAGATTCAAGATGCTGCTCCCAGTTCTGTTGTCACATTGTGACCCTGAACACTTTCGAGGAAGATTTCTGCTGATATGGGCATGCCCGTATGTGCAGGATGACCTTTGCAGCTGTACAGATGGACCAGTTCAAACTTCTCTCACGTCCGCAATCCGTGGCGTGAGTCCTGAGACCGCAAAGGTATCTTCATTCTTGGCTTTGCTGTCGTGGAAGCTTCCTGCAGACAGCTGTTGTCAAATCGGCTGTCAGTTATCATCAGCACCGTAACCTGCAGACGGAAGTCAAGCTTCACATTGTTTGCACCACTGCTACATGGATAGTGCTCAAGATGCCACACTGATTGTGCTGTTTAGAAAGCGTTTATCATACGACCAAAGAGGTGAAGCCAACGTAATTAATTTTCTCGCAGCACGGACCATACACTTTTGTTGTTGACAGGCCCGCGATGCCTAACGCGTCTCGTGCCTTCCGACAAGATGCATGCAATCCGTTCCGTTCCGTGAGACGAGAACTTGCAAAACTTGCTATGCTGCTATGCAGAAGCAGGGGCCTGCCATGCCACTTGTCTTTTTGCCTGTCTCAGTCTGTTTGCTTCTTTCCCTTCCATCTCTCTTTCGCTCTCGTTCTCTCTCTCTCTCTCTTCTTCTCTTTTCTCTCTTTTTTCTCTCTTTTGTTGTTTAATGTATCTCTCTCTTCTCTCTCTCTCTCTCTATTCTCGCTCTCTTCTCTCTCCCTTCTCTCTCGCTTCTCTCTCGCTCTCACTCTCTCTCTCTCTCTCTCTTTTTTTTCCTCTCTCTCTCTCTCTCTCTCGCTCTCGCTCTCTCTCTCTCTCTCTCTGTCTCTCTCTCTCTCTCACGCTAGCTAGGAGCGTGGATGTGATATGGCCTGCTGTACCTCACAAGTTGAACTGGCAATGCATTTTGTGCTGTTTGCTTTGCTCTCCGGCCACTTGTTGCATAAGCTTCTCATCGCCCAATGTGACCAGGGTGATCGAGGCTGTAATATCTGCATCAACAATGGCCCACGAGTGCTCAAAAGCCAGGGTTGTTGCCATGCACTGCCCCTTGCGTGCATCGCAATCGACGCCGTGGCTGTCACAATCTATGGCAGTCTTGCGTGCTGTGTGCGCAGGCCGTGCTTTCGTGTCTGAAGCCTTGCGTGCATGGTATCTGGTCTCGTGCTCTGCCTTCCCCAGCTCTGGGTGAGAAGTGAGGACCCCGCACGCCAGCCACTTCCTCAAATCTTTCCATATACTCTACGTTTGCCGTCGTCGACATGGTGGCTCATGCTGGACTGATGATGCTTGTCTATTGGGATATTTGCATGGAGGCAGCCTGTTTGGTTTCTTGCCTCGAGGCCAGGCAGCGGCTAAAAACCTTGAGCGCAAATGAACTAATTACCTGTAACATCACTACCTGTTATATATGTATATGTGTAAGGTATGTTTTGTAGATGTTTGGAATGTATGATGAGATGTGTATGTATGTGCATATGTTTGAACAGTAACAGCTGTAATTTTTGTTGTTGCACGACCGCTGTATTTAAGTACCGCAGTAAATGCATGATGTCATACACACATATGACATATATATGCATATATATATATATGTGTAAATATCTTTGTTTTTGCTTTTCGTTTTGGTTTGTCATCTTTGGTTGCTCCCATGCCTCAGATGCCGTCGTCAGTCTAGCATCGAGCAGCGGAAGAGGATGCCTCGCGGTCTGTCTCGCTGGCCATCCTGGCCGCGGGTGACAGCCCCTACGTGCAGACGCTGATCATCGTGACTGTCTTGCTGATTTACATGGTGGTGCCGCTCCTTGCCTGGTATCCCTAAACAAAACCTGAGACCCTGGACCCTAGACCCTAAGGCATCGGTTGGACATCTGCTGCGTGGGGATGGAGAATGATGCAGCCCTGAAACCGCAAGACATGCGCACCAACCCTGAAGCGACAACAATGCTAAGCGCTTGAAGGCCTAATCCTTAAAGCCCCACAACTCTGAACCCCGATACATTTACATGCCCTTTGAGAGCCCCGAAGCTCTATCAACCCCTTAAACCCTAAAGCCCCTAACCCCCACATTCCTTCACATCCCTTCGCCCCAAACACCCCCTCAACCCTCAATGTAAACCCTTAAACTCCTACCCCGCTCCTTCGTGATTCAAGATCCTAAGCCCTAAGCCCGAGAAGCACCAAGCCCTAAAAAATAAAAATAAACCCCCCCAAGCCCTGGGATGGATGCAACCCTTAAGTACGGTGTCGTCAGTAAGCACAACAGTAGCATCTCGCGTGCCGACTGCCGCCCGAAAAAGCGCAACGCACAGCCAGATGAATGCGCCCAATGCCGCAGCGAAATCTTTTCAAGACACCCAAAGCAGGAATTCGCACCGTTCTGAAATCGCACAATCAATCGGCCGGCACTTGCCCTGCCACACAGCCAAACGTCGGCAGGGCAGCCGCTGGCCATCAAAAGCCGCTGGACATCAAAAAAAGCTCAGCCAACGCTTGCCAATAGGGTTGGTTTCGTCAAGTGTCTCGAAGGTCTTCTTGGTCAATTCGAGGGCGAGAGCACCGCCTTTGTTCATCTGCTTTAACAGACGAACGACAACTACTACGACGACGTCGACGGCGACGGCGGCGGCGGCGACGACGACGACTTTACGACGACCACTATGATACATCTGATACATGTACAGACCATGTACAGTCAAAGCATTGTCCAAGATCCACCCAGGCTCTGGCTGTGGGAAGAGCGGCTTCATCGAAACAAAAACAGTAGCGTCGCGGATGCCGACCCCTTTGGGGTTGTCAAAGTCTAAACAACAATTTTGCAGGTAAGGGGGTGACGCTCTGGGCATCGCAACACTGGCAGGAGGTGAAGTGTAAATGTGGCTTGGTTGCTTTTCTCCAAAGCCCCAGGCAGGTCTTTGGGCAGCTTCTCCAGCGTGCAGATCTCGTCGTAGTCGGGATCACACCAGTCTCCTCTCGACAAATGCGTGGGGCCAGAATAGACAGAAATCGGTCATCCGGCCACTCTTAACCTGCTGCACAAGGACCTGTCGAGATCCTCACGCAGCAAATTCCAAAAAAAGGAGGACACTGACCTCATGTGAACGGGAGATAAGGTTCGCCGTAGCTATGCGTCGGCAACTACCCGCACTTAGCCCCACCCATGCCGCCTGACAAGAAGCCCCCCAAACAACGCGCGGATGGGCTTATAAGACCCCACGCTGGCAGAAATGACAAGGGTATAGACTCTAGGCATGCAACGCTTACAAATATTGTCACAAGCAAGGTCACACTCAGGCACGTAGGCATGCACTTCACACGTTGCATGGCAAGGCATCGACCCAGTCCCAAAGGACGCATCCAATCTGGGTGTACTATGCGGTGCCCATCCATTGCACTCCAACACCCGACGACCTGTGCAACTCGGCACGAAATTGCCCAGCCGTGAGTAAACTAACTCTTCCCAAGTGAAAGCACAAGATAGGATCGTGCATGGAGGAGTTAGTCGTCTTCAAGAGCCTTTTGTGACTAGACTGGGATAGACTGGGAGTCTGGATGATTCGGCTACCGAAGGATCATTTTTCCGGCGTCGTGGCACTCCCATTCGCGGATGGCCCTGAGCCTGGTCTCCAGAATTCCACGCGCTCAGACCATCGAAGTTCGGACTGATGCTCAAGTTGCGGAGGGTAAAAAAGCAAACTTGCGTAACGAGAGTGGCGCGGCTTGTAGTGGCTGCAGCGGGATCAGGTGGTACGTCGCTACGTCATTGTCGGGTTTCTAGGGCAGTGTAACATTGCAGTTGCAGATGTGGGCGGTGCATGTTGATGCAGTTCTTTTCGCGTGCGGACATTGGCTCAGATCGCGGTTGAGCTTAAGCAACAAACTCCGGCTAGTTGCAGACGGAGCAGAGCTCAAGACAGATCGGGGCATGGCCGACAGCGACAAGAGTGCCGTAGTTTGACTTTGCAATCCTTGCAAGCCCAGCAGATGTTGCCTTTAGGGTAGACGAACATGCAAGTTCCCGCCTTGAAGGCAGCTCCCCCCACCTCTAGTTCACAACTTGCTCGTGGAGGTGAAGTGCTTTACACACGTTTGTTCACGATTCCCCTGTGCGCAGGCCACTTACAGGGCAATGCCCGCGCAAGGCATCTGGGCTTCGTGCAGCATGGCAACATTTCCTGACATGTCGTCGCGCTTTGCCACAAGTCTGTTTCAGGCAGGACAGTTGCCGCACCGCAACCGTGGCCTCCGTGCAAGGCCATCGCGCAGGTGAAGGCGGCCTGATGTAGTTCTTCTCCCATTGCGGTGGCAAGGTTATGACATGGTTTCTGCCCGGTCTCTGATCATGCGGAAGCTGAGTGAGTAAGTTTGCTGTGTCCAGTCGCAGAAAGCCGCGGACATCTCTCCCGTTGACGCAACGACAATCACGGCCTAGTTTCAATGAGTGTTCCTTTTTGATGCGGGGTGCTCGGGAAGCTTCTAGTTGACATGGCCGGTTCGGGCTTTTCATCTTTGATTGATATCCCGAATCTGAACTAGCAATTGGGTTGCCAACGTGAGCTCCCGGTTTGGAGTTGAGATTCATGTACAGTTGGTGTCTAAGGGGCGCTACTGTCCCTCCACTTTCCAGCTTGAACACTGGGGCTCGGATCCGTGGCAGGTGGGTCAGCCTTACTCCATGGCAAGCGACCAGTGCGTTGCCAAGATCCCTCGCGGCCGAGCCACGTAGTGCAAGTTGTAATAGTCGAGCCACCTGCGGAAAGCCCGCACCTCTGCGAGATTTCGTGCACTCCAGGTACCCACTCAAAGGTTGCAGTGTCAGAGCTCCTGCGATCCAGCATACCAGTGCAGCGGCAGCCCCGTGGTGGGCAGCTGAGCAGGGGTGAGGTACGTCTAGCGTCGTCTAGCGCGACATGTTTTACAACCCTTCAAGCAGCGAGGCCTGTGTTGCTCGCGGCACCTGGGCGGATGGTGGCCAAGTGTCGTCAGGAGGCCATGCAGATTTTGTCGTAGGGCCAACAGAACAATTGCAGTAATAATTGTTGTGTCTCCATGGGCAGAGGTGAATGGACAAGTTTTATGCCCAGTCCAACTTTTTGGTCTCTCTCTGTGGTTTGACTCGCGCCGTCGCGAGGAATGATGTCCGAGTAGCGATAAGTTTTTGCAGCGTGGGCTTGCTTGAAGACAAACCAAACACCTGTGCAACAGCCTGTGGTCGTTCTTTCCTCCACTTCCTTCACTCCCTCTGCGTCCTCTGTCCCTCTTTCTCTGTATCTCTCTCTATGCTCGCGCTTACCATCGTTGAGCCGCTGTCTTTCTATGCGTCGCTCCCCTTGTCCTTCTCCTCTTTCCCTCTCCCTTTATACCTCCCTCCTCTTCTCCTTCTTCTTCTCCTGCTCCCTCCCTCCTTCCCTTCTTTCCTCCAACCTTCCCTCTCTCCTTACTTCCTCCCCTTGAAGGCAGCTCCCCCCACCTCTAGCGCACAACTTGCTCGTGGTGGTGCAGTGTTTTCATTTACACGCGCTTGTTCACGTGTGCAGGCCACTTACAGGGCAATGCCCGCACAAGGCATCTGGGCTTCGTGCAGCATGGCAACATTTCCTGACATGTCGTCGTGCTTTGCCACAAGTCTGTTTCAGGCAAGACAGTTGCCGCACCGCAACCGTGGCCTCCGTGCAAGGCCATCGCGCAGGTGAAGGCGGCCTGATGTAGTTCTTCTCCCATTGCGGTGGCAAGGTTATGACATGGTTTCTGCCCGGTCTCTGATCATGCGGAAGCTGAGTGAGTAAGTTTGCTGTGTCCAGTCGCAGAAAGCCGCGGACATCTCTCCCGTTGACGCAACGACAATCACGGCCTAGTTTCAATGAGTGTTCCTTTTTGATGCGGGGTGCTCGGGAAGGCTTCTAGTTGACATGGCCGGTTCGGGCTTTTCATCTTTGATTGATATCCCGAATCTGAACTAGCAATTGGGTTGCAGACGTGAGCTCCCGGTTTGGAGTTGAGATTCATGTACAGTTGGTGTCTAAGGGGCGCTACTTTCCCTCCACTTTCCAGCTTGAACACTGGGGCTCGGATCCGTGGCAGGTGGGTCAGCCTTACTCCATGGCAAGCGACCAGTGCGTTGCCAAGATCCCTCGCGGCCGAGCCACGTAGTGCAAGTTGTAATAGTCGAGCCACCTGCGGAAAGCCCGCACCTCTGCGAGATTTCGTGCACTCCAGGTATCCACTCAAAGGTTGCCGTGTCAGAGCTCCTGCGATCCAGCATACCAGTGCAGCGGCAGCCCCGTGGTGGGCAGCTGAGCAGGGGTGAGGTACGTCTAGCGTCGTCTAGCGCGACATGTTTTACAACCCTTCAAGCAGCGAGGCCTGTGTTGCTCGCGGCACCTGGGCGGATGGTGGCCAAGTGTCGTCAGGAGGCCATGCAGATTTTGTCGTAGGGCCAACAGAACAATTGCAGTAATAATTGTTGTGTCTCCATGGGCAGAGGTGAATGGACAAGTTTTATGCCCAGTCCAACTTTTTGGTCTCTCTCTGTGGTTTGACTCGCGCCGTCGCGAGGAATGATGTCCGAGTAGCGATAAGTTTTTGCAGCGTGGGCTTGCTTGAAGACAAACCAAACGCCTGTGCAACAGCCTGTGGTCGTTCTTTCCTCCACTTCCTTCACTCCCTCTGCGTCCTCTGTCCCTCTTTCTCTGTATCTCTCTCTGTGCTCGCGCTTACCATCGTTGAGCCGCTCTCCCCCCTTTCTCCTTTTGCTTCTCCTTCTCCTTCTCCTTTCTGGAGCTCCTGAGCTTGAGGCCGCCTCCGGGGCCGAGCGTCAGGAGCGGGAGGAGGAGGCCGTCCCACAGGTTCGGGGCTAAGTTTTGGAAGCTGTTTTTTTTGACGCAGTGGAGAGTTTTTTTTGTTTTGTTTTTTTTCTTTCATGCTTGCACAGCGACCGGAGCAAACATTCTTGAGAGCTTCTTTCGGGACGTGCCACACCTTGGGGCACCTTTTTAATCGTTTTCGCGCTCTTCTTCGGGTCAGTGTATTGCACTGTAATTGCAATGCGGTGAAAGCTCAGCTCTCCGAGAGCGGTTCCAGGCCGCAAAGACTCTCAAGGATCACGGCGATGTTCGGTCTTGTAGCATATTGGCATATAGTGGCTGTAGTTGGTTGTAGCAACGGGCAGTCACCACGGACAACCCGTGTATGTTGCCAGCCAGTGCGCAAGAGGCAAAGACGTGGAACCTCAGCAAGGAGGCAGAACAGGCCCTGTGAGCTTTTCATCAAAACTGCACAGGGCTGCTCGTCCGGTTCAGCGGTGTGCTCTGCATGACAATTATGTCGGGGGAGTTTTATTCAATCCCGCAGTTCGGATTGAGAATTCACGAGCTCGTGCGGTCCAAGGTCTCAGGCACGTTCAATGTGATCGGCTTCGCATTACAAAATAGATGCCGACATGTAGGAAATTAGCTGCGCGCGTTTCAGGAACTGTCAATACTTGAGACTCGGAAATGTTGCCCCGCCCTAAACTCCTGACCCTCCAGAAATCGATTTCCGTCAAAACCTACGTCATCCTACGTCCTCACCCTGTCGTTTCCGAATTGCGGTGCAGCCTGAGCTCGCTCCTGGCCAGACGCAGGCGAAGCTGGCAGCAAGTACCAGCCACGCAGAATCCTGGAAAGACGAGGCGCGGACAACGCGTTATGGTCTACACAAGGTCTGACGCAAGGCTTTTCTAGAGTAGCGGGCTCGCAGCATCCGCGGGCACCCCTATACATGGTGCAGCCCTTGCACCCCATGGTGGGGGGGGGGGGCGGGGGACAAGGAACCACACATCCCCACAAAGGTGCGCGGGCTCAGTGGCGCCATGATGTGCTCCGACCTTGGGGTGGGTGTATAGCCTGTATAGCAGGACGTGGTGCAGGGGTGGGCGCCATGGCTTTCGTCCTTCAAGGTGTCTGCCTGTCTTGTGGTTGACGTCTCTCTTGCGCTGGCTCTGAACGCGAACTACAGCACGCTGCTGGAATCGCCGCCTTTCTCTCCATTCTCCGAGGCGTGACGGGGGACCTGCAGGAGCAGCGGGTGGTCCTGCAGGGCGAGGACGCGACCAGAATCTTCTTCTCAAAATGATCAAATATCTGTGGCGTTGAGGTCGCACACTGCCATATTTTTTTCTCTCTCGCTCTCTCTCTCTCTCTCGCACTTTCTCTCTGTCTCTGTCTCTGTGCCTCTGCCCCCGCCCCTGCCTCTGCCTCTGGCTCTCTCTTTCCTCTCTCGCTCGGTCGAGCTCTGTCGCTCTCACTCACGTTCTGGCTCTCGTTCGCCGTGCGACTTTTTGTGCGAGGAGGACTCTCTCTTCTCATCGAGGCCAACGGCGGCTCACCTCAAAACCTTGCAGAAGGCAGTGCCTGCTCAAACCTTGCGGATCCATTGCAGTTGCTCGGACAATGCAGGCTCCAATCACTGTGAAGGGTTCGCCTTGCGCAGGGCTGGTTGCTCACGTTGACTGATGGGATCTGCACGGAGGTCACAGAGCCAAGCACGCCGCGGAACATCGCCGCCAACATCGCCGAACACGCCAGGCTTGCGCTTGAACAACGTTTTGGGCAGATGCAGGCTTTAACTTTCCTTCTCGCGAATTGCGCCGAATGAGCAGCAGGCTGCACCTTGCAAGCACGCCATCTACGACTTGCGCAGAAGAGGAGCGAGAGCATGCGAGAGCCGGCTGCTTGTGCTGTCGTACATGTATACACGTGCGGGCACCACAGTTTGTGTGCCATGCCTCTTCACACAGGAGGCCATTGACGCGGCTTGGCCACCGCAAGAAGTGGTCGAGCACATTGAGAGCCTCAAGCGGGTGCGAGATTGAGAAAGCTCAGTCAAATGCTTTCACGAAGCTTTCGCCATCGCACAGCATCCTGGCAGGAGGACAAGAAGTTTGAACAGGCGCGGCCAGTGTTTTCGCGCTCCAACAGATCATGAGTGCCCCAGCCGCTCCTTCGCGGTCTGAGGCAGACGGCCAGTGGCTTGGAATGGCCCGGAAGCTCGATGATGAGCGCGTTGCTTCGGAATGGGCTTTCTGGGAGGCTTCGCCTGAGCTTCCCAAGAGCAAAATGTAGCTGTTGCGAAGCTTTATTGTCCCTGTCAGGGTAAGGGCTGCTTTGGCTGGCTGGCCTGCCTGCTGCCCGCATTCCCCCGTCCTGGTCTGCGACTCGGTTTGGAATTGTGGGCAGTGCTTGTGGAAGCGGCAGAGACAGGTCCGCCGCGCTCATCGCACCGGGCTTGTGGAGTCCTGAACACGATGGAGTTCGTCATGGAGGCTCAAGGTTTTGCAAGTAGTGCTGCGTTTTCTTGCGTGCTTCGACCAGGCAGTGAAGAACCTGGGGCAACCGCAGATGGAGTTGCCTTCATGCTCCGCTGCAACAGCCACCGGGACTGCCATCAGATTGCGGCGGAGATCTGGGACAATCTAGGAAGCAGCATGGTCAGCGTTCTCAAGTGGAATGAGGACACTGGTTTGATCGTGTCGTGGGTGATCCGTTCGGAAAGGTTCCGCTGCTGCAGTGCCCGCGTCGCAGCGCTGGCCAAGAAAGGCAGTCAGCCCAGACGGTACGACATGACCTGAGCTACACGTGAAAGCGTGAAAGGTGCTCAGCCAGGCTCAAGATTCCGGTGGCAATATGTGCGCTCATGTTTCTCATTAGGAACACCGCAGCTTATATCCGTGGAAGAGACGATGCATACCCGCAAAGCGATAATCCACTGTAGCGTGCTTTGCTGCAACAGTGCATTTGTTCGCAAGCCAATACCCTCAGTGCTCCAAGTGCAATGGAGGGCTTCTTTCCCCCCAGGAGGGGTGTATCCAGGCAAGACAGAGCTTTCACTGAGTCTGGCGGGTCCTGCGGAAAGCATGCCCGTGCAACTGCTCGGTCAGGTGGACGCGTGCTCATGGTCCCACCGCGGCAGCCGGCAGCCCTGACCATTTGAATGCCGTTGCTAAGCTTTAGAAGCATGCCTGGGTGGCTGGTTTGCCTCAGCAATTGCGATCTGAACATGAGGCAACGTGTGCAAAAAGTTGAAAATTCTATCCGAGTGGAAGCTGCCAGGACAGACTGGGACTGGCCACAGTGGTGGAGGCTCTAGTGCGAGCCTTACACCGTGCGCATGCCGCTTTGATGGGAGCAGTAAGCCACTTGATTTCACAGTTGTGATGAACTTTTGCCCCAAACAAGCTTTGCCAAGAATCTGATGTATGTGACTGCGCCAACGGGTGCACTTCAGGACGAGACGTCGCCGCACTCCCCAGGACGGCTACGGTGTAGCAATTTACAAGCACGTGTGGCTTGAGCATGTTTTGAGTGTGCAGTCGAGATGGGCATTTCCCAAAATAGGGGTACCCCGTTTATACCCTGCATAGATGGAATCCCCTTGAATGCCCTTGAAGGAACCCAAAGAAGCTTCCCCCCCTCGTTTTCGGAAGCCCTCAGATTGCAGTTGGGAGTCCATGGCAGATTGGAAAGGTCAGATGGTCGGAGGTAGCCCTAAACCCTAAACCCTAAACCCTAAACCCTAAACCCTAAACCCTAAACCCTAACCCCTAAACCGGTTCAACGAAGTTCGCTCTTACAGCAAATCTGCTCTGCCAGGATCCCCAGAAGAAGCTTTAGCACTCTCTGCCGGGTCCTGATATTGCCACATGCCCCCAGCTTGGAGAGGAGAACTGTGGGGTTGAAAGTTGAAGACAACTGCGGCGACATGTAGCAGCGCAGAAAGTTTTGCAGGCATGCGTCTCAGAACCCGAGGGGCAGCTCAAGCATTGTTTGCGATGCCAACGATGGGAAGTCCGATGGGCTGTGCAAAACATTGCTGTGCCACTTTCACTCCCACTTCGCCACCAGAAAGAAAGTGCTGAGGCTACTGCTCAAAGAGAGCGTTGACGTGTCAAAACCTTTATGACTGGCTGCGCACTGATCAAGGTCGAGCATGGCAGCAGTCGTGCGTGATGCCTTTTTTGGCCAAAAAAAGTAGGGTATTGGTTGCTAAAGGACCGGAAGAAAGCTACAGTGGAACAGGCAGCCGAAGTTCGTTTTTGGAGCGGGCAAGCTAGCCGTTTAAAATCTGGCAGCCCCTGCAACCTCGGTGCCTGTTGAGCCGTGCAAGCCACCGCGCAAGCTTACTATTCAAGAACACCCCGCCAGCAAGTATGATTCTTTCCAAAGCCGGCATCTACTTCCCCTGGCCCGCTCGGGACATTCCTTTGGGATCCTTTGGGCCGGGGAGTGGTCCGCCGCAAAACTTCAGAGCGATTTGCGTGCATGGACGATCATTTCTAGCTTGGCTCAGCCACGGCTGCATGTATGCAGTGGAGCTGGAGGCTGTCGTCCCGTCAACGCCCGGGAGCTCGCATCGAGCCAAGCAGTTCTCACGCCGAGTGTCGTGCTGCTTGCAACATCTTGCAACCGTCGAGGTCCCTGCAATCGTCTTCAGGGCCGGGATTGTCAGTGGCTGTCAGGGCCCAAGGGAGCCAACGTGCTTGGTGGGCTAAGGGAGGGTTCAACTAGCACTCAAGGATCAGGAGCTTTTTGAGGTTTCGGGAGGTAGGCCACAGCGTAGTCTTCTTGGGCTGGCCTTAGACAGGGGAAGCCACCACTGTGACTTGTCAACATATCTTGGGGAGGGCAAATGCCCCAAGCCTCAGCCGTGCCTGTATAGGCTGTAGCGCCCGAGTTTGTCAGGTCTTGGAGCTACAGGTAAGCGTAAACCCCTCCAAGTTGCCTCAGGGTTTAGGGTTTTCTGGTTAACCCGTCACCTCTCAAATCCTACACCATTTTGCAGGAATTGGCTGCCGAGAGGGTGGGCTTGCGGTTCAGGGCTGAGGTGCCGGATGAAATCGGGCCTAGACATCCAAGTTGCAAATAGTCATTTCTGGCCTCTTTAGGGGTCCCGTAAACCCGCCCCCTGTTTGGTATTAACCGTTCTCTAAGGCTCTGGCTTACTACCATACCTACTACCATAAACCCTCCTAAGCCCTAAACACAAAACCCTTAAATCCCAAACCCCAACTAAACCCAAAACCCTCAACCTCTACCCCAGCATTCTTGTGCATACGAAGCCCCTGCCTTCTTCGTGCAAGGGCAAGCAGCCGTCGGACGCCTCCGCCAAGCGCTGTGCCCTGAAGGCAGCAACTGCTGCTGGCGCGGACAAGGCGGTTGCAGGGTTTAGGATTCAGGGTTTAGGGTTTGGGGTTGAGGGTTTAGGCCCGGGTTTTCGGGTTTATAGGTTCATAGGCGTGGGGGATTTTGAGCTTTGGGGCTTGTGGGTTTGCGGGGTTCCGGGTTCAGAGTTTTATGTAGGGGTTCGGAGTTCAGGTTTAGTTCCGGATCTAAAGGCGTGGCTTTTCGTGGCCTCAGGCTTGCAGTGCCCATGGTAGGGTGACCCAGGAGCCCTGAGCCCTAAAAGCCCTGAACCCAAACCCTAAACCCTAAACCCTAGACCCCAAACCCCAAACCTCAAACCCCAAACCCTAAACCTAAACCCTAAACCCTAAACCCTAAACCCTAAACCCTAAACCCTAAACCCTAAACCCTAAACCCTAAACCCTAAACCCTAAACCCTAAACCCTAAACCCTAAACCCTAAACCCTAAACCCTAAACCCTAAACCCTAAACCCTAAACCCTAAACCCTAAACCCTAAACCCTAAACCCCTAAACCCTAAACCCTAAAAACCCTAAACCCTAAACCCTAAACCCTAAACCCTAAACCCTAAACCCTAAACCCTAAACCCTAAGCCCTAAACCCTAAACCCTAAACCCTAAACCCTAAACCCTAAACCCTAAACCCTACACCCCATCCAGCTCTTCACAGGCAGCTGCAGAGCAGATCGCCGAGGGGGTCGGGTGCACCGTTGAGGCTCTGCGGGAATGGCGGGGGGTATGCTGGTTTAGGGTTTAGGGATTGGGGTTTAGGGTTTAGGGTTTAGGGTTTAGGGTTTAGGGTTTAGGGATGAGGCCTAAGGTTTGGTTTAGGATTCCTGTTCAAGGTTTAGGGTTTAGGCAGGCGTGTCGCTTGGATTTGGAGGGTTTTATTTCCCCTAAGGACTGACGAGGTGTTGAAAAACAGGCAGCCTACGAAAAGGTAGGTGTCGGGTTCTTTGTGCAAAACCTGATCCAAACTCTGAACAGTCCTTGGATGTTATATTTCGGGCTGACTTTTTTGTTGATCCCTGGTCATGGACAGAGTTTTCGTTTTGGCGATGGTTGAAACTTAGAATTTTGCGCAGTCGCACACAGGATAAGATGCTCTCCAATGAGTCCTGCCCTGGTGGGCTCAACGGAACGTACGGTCCACATACCTTGCAGCTATGCTGTACGAGTATAGGGATTAGGGAAGGGTCTTTAAGCTCCAGGGGAGTATAGGCTTTCGGTTGGAAGGAGTTTGGCATTCTCTAAACTCTACAAACCCTGTGAACCCTAAGCCGATTTCTTTTAGACTCCTCAAACCTTGAAGCCTGAACTTGTTTGGTGCTTCTGTTTCAGTCGGACCGGGCTGTCCAGCTTTTGCGCCGCATTATCGCCCGCTGCGTTGCGCCACGCAAATCCGGATGAAGAATACAAGACCCTAGCCCTGAACCCTAAACCCCACAAAGCCCTAAGCCCTAAGGCTTAAACCCGAAGCCCTAAGCCCTAAGCCCTAAGCCCGAAGCCCGAAGCCCGAAGCCCGAAGCCCTAAGCCCTAAGCCCTACGCCCTAAGCCCTAAGCCCCAAGCCTTAAGCCCTAAGCCCTAAGCCATAAGCCTTAAGCTCCACAAAGCCCTGGGCCCTAAGCCCCACAAAGCCCTGAGAGCCCTAAGCCCTAAGCCCTAAGCCTTAAAGCCCTAAGCCCTAAGCCCTAGGCCCTAGGCCCTAAGCCCTAAGCCCTAAGCCCTAAGCCCTAAGCCCTAAGCCCTAAGCCCTAAGCCAAGCCCTACGCCCTAAGCCTTAAGCCCTAAGCCCTGAAGCCCCAAGCCCCAAACCCCAAGCCCGAAGCCCGAATCCCGACACCCGAAGCCCGAAGCCCGAAGCCCCAAGCCCCAAGCCCTAAGCCCTAAGCACTAGCCCTAAGCCCTGAGCCGTAAACCCTAAACCCTAAACCCTAAACCCTAAACCCTAAACCCTAAACCCTAAACCCTAAACCCTAAACCCTGAACCCTAAACCCTAAACCCTAAACCCTAAATCCTTCCTCTTGGGGTCAGGATTGGCTTGTTGACGGCGCCGCGCAGCGCGCCGAGGAGGTCGGCACGGCGGCTGCCAAGGCCTCTGGATGGATTTGAAGTATAGGGTTTAGGTTTTGGGGTTTAGGGTTTAGGGTTTGGGGGGTTTAGGGTTTGGGGATTAGGGTTTAGGGTTTAGGTTTAGGCTCGAAGCAGCTAACGACTCTTACACAGTATGGCTTTTTGGCCCCGACAGCCCTACAACTAAGAGCCCTGAGGGCCTAGCCGAGAAAGTAAACTCAGCGCCTCGCACCATCCCTAGACCGCTACACCCGAAGCCCTAAATCCCAAACCCTAAACCCCAAACCCTGAACCCTAAACCCCAAACCCTAAACCCTAAACCCCTAACGCCGAAGGTGGCCCTTGCATGTGGGGCCCCGGCCGAGCAAGCAGCGGCCTGAGGAGTATTCACATGTAGGTGTACAGGGTTTAGGTTAGGGTTTGGGGTTTAGGGTTTAGGCTGAAGGGACCCTGATTATGAGGCTCTATCAGTTGGTTGCTGCAGGTTTTTGATAAGCACGGCGCATGGAGAGTCCTCCACGGCAAAAAGCCAGATTGCGATGCCACAAGCCCGACACGGCCTAGAAACGGATTCACCAGGACGGCGTGGCACGCTTGTGCGAAGTCTTCGCTCGTAAGGGATACCTGTAATTAATTTCTTCCCTGCTGTTACCTCAGCCTTGCACTTGCTGAGTCTGCCTGAGTTCTGAACTGAGGGTAGCCTTGTTGCGCTTGCTGTGGAGGCATGGTCCGGCTTTGCAAACATGAATGCTTTGTGATGTTGTGTGCATGTTTTGATCCCCATGGTATCCTCATGTGCGCCTCTTTTCAGGCAAACGCTCGCGCGAGGCAGGCCGCCTCCAGGCAGGCCACCGCGACCGCCTCACAGACATGTCTTGCGCACCACTTCCCGGCTCGTTTTGTGTGCTCATTGAGTCGGTGGGAATTGCCAGGAATGCGGGTGCTTCCAGGCGCTGACGCAACTTGCACGGTGCACCCAACTTGCGCCCACATTGGCCCCAAAAAGGCCGCAACATCTCGAGCCTGGCTCCAGCGCTTCTTCCAATCGCTCCGCTGAGCAGGAGCCGAGCTTGGACTCTTCCAGTGAAGTGGGAGTCAGGGCGTGTGCGAGCTTGGGGTTCGCAGGTTTAGTTTTGGGCGTTTGCGTTTGACAATCCGTGTGCCACATGCCGTGCGCACAGATGTTTTGATCGACTTGGTCCAGGCTGGCTTCCCGAATTCACGCACAGATGGGGTCCCGGCCGCAGATGCCGATTCTAAATGGGTGGGCAAGATCATGTGCAAGCATGGCCGTTGAGACCTTTCCTGATCCCAGCAGTTGGCATCGATCCCGCCGCCTAGGAGTGCTGCAAAGCACTCGAACCTCGCACAGGATCCAGGCGCCTAAACCTGTGTCTCCAACTCCAACGGTCAATTGGTGGATTGAATTGGGCTCTGGATTGCTCAATATGCCACCCTTTTGCATTGGCAGAGCAGAGATCTCGAGCGCCTCCGGCTTTAAGGGTTCAGGCTCTTTCCTCAGCAGCTCTTGAGGGTTTTCAGCCAAAATAAGGTCTGGGGCAGATTGGGGGTGCGTTACTTTGAGCCGGCAACGAATCGTACTTCTGATTGCCGGGGCCCGCTTTGAGCACAAGACACAGGCAACAAATCGTACTTCTTAGTATCGGGTTTCGCTTTCAGCCCAAGACGCTAGCAACAGATCGTACTTCTTAATGCCGGGGCCCGTTTTGAGCACAAGACGCTGGCAACAAATCGTATTTCTTAGTATCGGGTTTCACTTTCAGCCCAAGACGCTAGCAATAGATCGTGCTTCAATGCCCGGGCACGCTTTGAGCACAAGACACCAGCAACAAATCGTACTTCTTTGTGTGTTTTGACTTTCAGCCCAAGATGCTAGCAACAGATCGTACTTCTTAATGCCGGGGCCCGCTTTGAGCACAAGACGCCATTTCTCAACACTGGACGTCGCGTCGAGCCCAATGTGCCAGCAACAAACCGCACGTCTTATCAGCGTGGCCCTTTTTCGAGCGCAAGACGCCGACGTCGGCAACAAATCGTACTGTGAACCGTGGAAGTCTAAACCGGTCATTGTTTTTGATGCAAATCATTGGGGAGAAAAAAACATGGAAGGCGTTACCGTCCAGCGTTCATTGGGGGTAAGCGGGTTTGTAACGTAGCACGCTGCGCAAATATGGCACACGTGACGCAGTTATCATGAGAAACGCGAGAGAACGCACTGGATCGAGCAGGGCCCTAACACGTAGGACAGGTGACTCAGCTATCATGACAGACGCGGGAGAATGCGCTGGGTCAAGCAGAATCTTCAATCATAGCACAAGGGACTCAGCTATCTTGACAAACGCGAGAGAATGCGTCGAATGCGTCGGATCGAGCAGAATCTTCTAAAATGCACAAGCGACTCAGATATCATCACAAACGCAGGAGAACTCTCTGGATCGAGCAAAGTCCCAATGTATAGACGGGCGCCTCAGCTTTCATGACGATCACGGGAGAACACTCTGGGTCAAACAGAATCTTCAGTCATAGTACAAGGGAAACAGCTATCCTGACAAATGCGGGAGAATACGCTGGTCGAGCAGAGTCCGCTAATATATGTCACAAGCGATTCAGCTGAACATATAGCACAGGCGACTCAGCTATCATGGCAACCATAGGAGAACACGATGTGTCGAGCAGAACCTTGATTCATAGCACGAACGACTCATCAGTTAGCTTGACAAGCGCGGGAGAACACACTGGGTCGAGCGAAATTCTCTAATATGGCTCAATCGACTCAGCTATCATAGCAAGCGGGAGAACTCGCTCGGTCGAGCAAAGTCCTAATGCATAGCACAGGCGACTCAGCTATCAGGACGCACGTGGGAGAACGTGCTGGATCAAGGAGTTCAAGACACAATGGATTCAACTGTCCTGAAAAAAGGGCCAGCGCACTGCGTAAGTTTGGCACAACTGACGCAGTTCTCATGAGAAACGCGAGAGAACGATACTTCCATCATAGCACAAGGGACTCAGCTATCTTGACAAACGCGGGAGAATTCGTCGGCTGGCGCACTGGAACAGAACACAACGATTCAAGCTTTCCTCTAAGCTCTAAATACCAATGCGGCTGTGCTTGCCTTGGTTTACGGAGACCGCTGCAGCTTACGCGCAGCTTACGCGCGCCTTACGCGCGCCTTACGCACTCCTTATATACTCTAAAAGACCTTTGCCAGACAGGTCTGTTTGTTCAGGCATCATGGATATGTATCGTGGAAGGGCCAGGCGGACCCCAAAATGGGCGTATGCCTTCAAAACGCATCTCCGGTAATCGGGGCATCGGTCACACGGAGCAACAAGTATATCGATCTACCTGCGCCAGAAAACCTCAGTACGTGCAGTTCGGTCTACTCACAACCACCCGGGGCTTCGAAGATAGAACGCTCGGTACGTGCGCCTCGGTGCGCTCGGTTAGCCAGGGGCGTGGAAGATGACTACCCTGTACCTGCATCTAGGTGTGTTCGGTCATTGCCGCAACGGTGCCGTCGTTCGTCTGGGGTTGTCCAAACTTCCCAAGCTCCAAAAAGATTCCCCCCAAAGGCACGGTCACTTGGGAACTTATATTCACCCTAAAACCCAAGCCCAAATCGGCTCCAACAAGGCTCCCCAAAAGGCTTTCAGAATCCAAACAACGCTTCACGGAGGCTCCAAAAGGATCCCACGGAGGCTTCAGAAAGGCTCCACAAAGATCCCCCCCCAAAGGCACGGTCACTCGGAGATGACCCTAAACGTCATGAATCCCAAATCGGCTCCAACAAGGCACCCCGAGATGCGGTCACTTGGGAACTTTGAGATGTTAAAAACAACGTATCAGGCAGGCTCCAACACGCCCAAACATATGATGTTGAAAGCCTTACAAAAACACACAAAAACCAATTGTGGCCTTGCAGTTTGGTTGTTCAAGCACCGCTTGCAACCGCTGTTGTAATGCTTCTCAACCCCCTGTGCACAGCTAGTGCTGGCACCTCTCTTGAAGACGAGCCCGTAGCATACGCATGAAACCAAGGGGTGCGACACATGTAGGGACGCACAGCCTGGTGGTGCTGTATGCCGAAGATGGCAAGCGAATTGTTGTAATCACCTTGCGTTCATTGGGGATTCCAAACGAACACTGGATTTCAGCTGCTTTGCCAGGACCAGGTTGACCCTAGCGTTCCTTCGGGAAATTGAGTTTGTACCGTGCTTTGGTGCTGTCTAAAAGGCACTCCGCCCACAGCGTTCATTGGGAACTCGGATTTGGTAATGTTTTCTTCGCCTTCGCTTGAACCGGTGCGTTCATTGGGGTTTAGATGTGTTGGGTATGGGTGGTTTTGACTTTCAGTGCCGCCTGTACTGCTTCGTACCAGGACTGCGTTTTGAGCCTAACACACAGTACCAGGGTTTCACTTGAGCCCAAGCCACCGGCAACAAATCGTAATTTTCAGCACCGGTATTTCTCAGCACGGGGGACTTGCTTTGAGCCCGGAGACATCGGCCACAAATCGTTCTTCTTGCAGCATGGGGTCCGCCCAAAAGTTCAGCACCATGTAAGAAGTGCGAGTTGTCGCCGACATTTTGGGCCCAACGTGAGGCATCGCTTCGAAGAAGTACGGTTTACGGAGATCATGGGTTCACTTTTCAATGCGCAGGGTGCGCAATTCTGGTGCCAGTCCACTGACAGAGTTAGTAATAGTAATCGTAGCAATAGCAATAGAAATAAAAACACAAATACAAAGAGTAATAGTACTACTAGCAGTAAATAGTAATAGTAATAGTGTAAATAGTAAATAGCAAATGTAATGGTAAGTAGTAAATAGCAAATAGTAAATAGTAAATAGTAAATAGTAAATAGTAAATAGTAAATAGTAAATAGTAAATAGTAAATAGTAAATAGTAAATAGTAAATAGTAAATAGTAAATAGTACATAGTACATAGTAAATAGTAAATAGTATATAGTAAATAGTCAATAGTAAATAGTAAAAAGTAAATTAGTAATTAGTAAATAGTAAATAGTAAATAGCAAATAGTAAATAGTAAATAGTAAATAGTAAATAGTAAGTAGTAAGTAGTAAGTAGTAAGTAGTAAGTCGTAAGTAGTAAATAGTAAATAGTAAATAGTAAATGGCAAATTGTAATTGTAACGGTAATAATGGGAATAGGAATAGGAATAGCAATATTAATAGTAGTAGTAATGCGAATACTAATACTAATGCTATATTATACAATGCTCTAGTCCTATTTCCTGCTGGGAGGTTTTAATTCGCTACCAGCACGGAGCTTTGCAGGATCTGGAACAAGTCTGGGCCTCGTGACATGGGGCTTATTGAAGTTTGGAGTTTAGGGTTTCGTTTGGGGTTCTGGCGGGGGGGGGTGGGCCCTGTCATAAGGAATCCCAGTAAAGAAGGCACCTACATGGGGGACTGTCGTGTAGAACAACCGCGCATGAGCCCTAAAGAAATCACCGCCCCCTCCCGCCTGCTGGCGAGGGGGAGGGTACCAGTGAACTTCCCTGAAGCACTTGCGAATCGTGCACTGAGCCTCCTTGAAGCACCTTCAAAATTGCGCAAGGTTTTGCTTAGCCCAGACTTTGTCTTCTTCTTCGTGGCCTGGCTGGACCAGGACGTTATTCATTCATGCTAGTTCAAGTTCCTCTGTGACTGTCGATGGCAAGACTCCTGGCCAGAGGATTGCAGTCGGTTCTTGGCATGGTTTGCTGTTTGGGGCTCAAGGGGGATGAGGGGTTCCCTCAGAGTTGCTCTAGGGTTTTTTGGTTGGGGTCAGTGCCAGCAGGAGGCCTTCAATCTACCACGAAATTGGGACCGCTTGACACGCCGTAGGTTGCTCTAAGTTCAGGTACACGGAATCCCATGAAAAAGGATATGAATGATGAAACCTTTTACAGCCCTATAACCCTAAATCCCCAAACCCTAAACCCAACCCTAAGCCCTACACCCGAAGCTGTACTCCAGCTGAGCCTCCGCTCTCGGAGGCCTCCGTGATGTTCGGCTTCGGTGAGACCC